GAGCTAGGGAGATCGCGGCCACGTCGCGCGAGCTCGCAAAAATCACGAAACGAGATTCTACATTGTATGCGGCTACGAGATTGTGGCAGGGGTTGTTGCCGATCGCGATAATGCGAGGTATCCTGGAATGAGGACGTTACCTTCTGCTTCCCTCTCCTTCTTTCGCTGCCTTAGGCTCTTATCAATGATTGTTATTTGAAACTTGTCTCAAGATGCGCCGCATCTTGCATTTGGAATTAAACACGCTTACAAATATACGTGTCACGTGCGTCATTTAGTTCTACCTATTCGAAGTTTGAGATTCTAATTCTGATATTTTCATATTAATTAATTTAATTTATTTATTCATTCATTTATAGAAAGCTCTTTCCATCCTCTTTAAAGTTTGTGAGACTTATATTAATTCGTCGTTACATGGAATTTATTTCAATCAAGATCTCGGACTTGAATGAAAAGTTAGAAATCTTCTCTGCGAAGAAGTTAAATCGCGATTACCAACTGAGATCTGTGTATCTCGCATAAAATAAGTTTCAAGTAACGACCATTAACGCGAGCTTCACAGCCGACTTCTCCCGAGCGAGAAATATCTTCTTCCCGAAGCATTTTATGTATTATGCATTGTTAGATCTCTTGATTTAGATTACGCGATTTCTCATTCGAGTGCTTTAACATCGGTGACTGTTCGAATCTCTCGTAATTTGGTCGATCGAATCTCCCGACATTTAACATTCAGTCAATCTCGATACTTAACCGAGCACTCGAGTTCGACGATCTAATGATGATTTAAAGAGCTATTTGTCGTCCACAGCCACGGCAATGTAACCAGTCGCGTATGTAACGATGACAGCGCACGTCGTAATAACCGTCGGGATCTTTTCTTTTTTAGCAATTTTATCGTTTCGCCGAGTCTAATGATACGGACGCGCGCACGCTACGCGGCATTGTTGCGCGTCGATTCGAACGGTGCGCGGAATCCAACGCGGTTCTGACGCCACGATGTTATTACAGGGAAGCGAGATGCGCGTCGCCGCGGGTGCGTTCTTGCGCTGAGAAAAACCGCGAAAAACGATGAAAAGTTCAGATCGAGATATCCCTCTCTTGTGCGCGCACAGTCGGCTAGTTAAGCGCCGCTCGCTCGCTCGCTCGGTCGTTCGTTTGTCCTTTCGCTCGCTTGTTCCTTCCTTCGTTCGTCCGTCGTGGCACGTGAGTGCTGCTCGCACGCACGCATGCACGCACGTGCGTGAGCGCGATGATTTACACGGTACGCGGATTTAGAACGTACCTACCTACCTACCTCTACCTCTACCTCTACCCCTACCCCCCCCCCCGTCGCGTCGCGTCGCTTGTGTTCCTTGTGGGAGTCGTGCGTGCGCACGACAGTATTTTGCGCGAGTTAAAGTATTTTTAACTGCTGCGTCTACGTGAAAAAAGCTCATTATGTAATATACACCATTAGGCTGATGCACGATTGAAACAGCCGAACGGTGAGACTCTATTTAGCTCTATTTAGGGACATTGACGAGGCACATTCTGCGAACGCCGATCTAAAAAATATTGTAGTATAGTAGAAATTTTATTATATAAAGATACAAGAAAATTTTCGGTTCTTATAGACCAAATTCGCGATTTTGAGAATCAGAAATTCTATTTCTTTCCTTTGATCAAAAGATGCGTTTGATTTGTTCATTGTCGCCTTAATTTGATCAATTTTTTTCAAACATCGCGATTACGAAAGGTCGTCAGGTCGTCGTTTACCTTCCTCTTCCTCCCGAGAAAGTTGAGTATATTTTTAGAATGACGTTTGACATTTCTGGTGGAGCGATTAGATGCGGGTTTAAAGAAGCGTGATTAGATACGGGATCCGTAAATACTCGGATTTTCAGTTCGAGATCGAACCAATACAGTAATTCCAGTTTTAGTTAGAAAAAAAGAAAAAGAGCGTGTAGACCTAAAAGATCGTTCAGAATTACTAATCGTCAAAGATAAGCTTCGGAATATTAAATTAGCGTTAAATGGCATATTGAGATCGAGAATAGCATCTCCATTAGAATCCTTAATCTAGGAATAATCCTGATCAGACTTGAACGAAACTCGCGTACGCGGCCGGCAAAATACATAGGTTCTATTTCTCCTAGGCGGCCGCACGTCGCGCTCGGCCAGACGGTTTGTGCTTCTTTATAACGAGCGCGCTTTTTCTTCGAGAGCCCTTAGTTAGTCGGAAAAAGGAAGCGACGTTAATGTCGCGCAACCCAGCCACGCTAGACGCTACGGCCGTGGAGGAGACCTTGCCGTAGTCTCTACCCTTCGTGTTTGAATTTAGACAGAACTTGTTGCCAGATTTCCAGGAAAAAGATATCGTGCAAAGAGCTTCGTCATTTTCGCACGCTGATCACTTCTGTCACGCTGCGAGAGATACAATCTTATCGCACGTTAAACTGACTACGATGTAAAAAAAACAAAAATGCACATAAATCTCAGAAATACAAATGTACTTTTAGCTCGTATCGCGATTCCGTATTTGAGTCTACGTTGCCGTCGCGTTTTGTCCTCTAATCGCGAATTTGTGCTTCGAGGAACTTGGAAGCGAGGACAGGGCGTTGTACGTTGTGCTTCACAATGTGGTGCTCTGTTCACTCGCGGTCGTTAACGAAATTTTCAGAGGTCCGCGCGTCATTCGGGAAGAGAAGGAAAACGCGGAACGATGCGCACCCGCGCGCGTTTCTCATTAGCGGCATTCGTCAGTCATCTCCCTTTCGCAGGGCACGGGGCAGTCTCTTTTCTCGAACGCCTCTCCTTGCTTCATTTTCCAAGGACTATTCTCGCTACCCTCATTATGTTCCAGCTGCAACGGGCAAAACAAATACGGCGACGGTCGTGGAAGAGAATAGCTCGCGGCGAGCGACGACCTTTCGCGCCGAAATGTCTCTTCGCACCTAAGGTGTACTTGGAACATTCGCGGAACAAATTTCTTCTCTTCTTCTTCTTCTTCTTCTTCTTCTTCTTCTGCATTTTGGTCACAACTTCCGCGTTTTCCCCACAATTTTCTGCGCATCAGTTGTAAAGACAAATCGAGGACAATTCGTACTGCAAAGGGTTAAGCTGAGGTCAATCGTTAAATTGAATGTGCCGTGGCACTCGTTCTAAATCGAGACACTTGATCTTCGCGAAACCTCCAAGGGAGATTAATAAAACAAACCGCACATTAATTAATTTCCGCTACAACGAGATACAGCGACCTCGAGTTAATTTATTACCTCCACGTATGACGTGCGTCGCGACATCGCGCGGCGTAACTCCCCTCCCCCCCCCCCCCGGAAAAATGATCGAACAGGCGACGGCCGATATTTCACGCTAACGTAAAACGTGTGATCTCGCGACCCTCCGCAACGGCTGTCATTTAAAAATCCCGAAGATAAAAAGGTAGGACTCGCCTTGATGTCCCCGCGGGATAAAAAAGTCCGCGCGACCCTTTTTAGACACCGCTCCGGCGGCGCGGCGCGGCGCTACCGACGAATCCTCAAAGAACGAGAGGAGAGCAGACGTTCGTTTGGTGCGCATCGTTCTCCGAATAATATTCCTCCATCCCCTCGCGTGCCGATCCGCGCGAATGTTTGATCTCGCTGGAAATAGGGAAGCGTGCGAACGCACTCGTGCGTCGTCTGCATGATGTTTGCGCGAGTGCGCGGCCGACGCGACGCGTCGCGCCGTTCTGCGGTTGCAGTTGCGACGTGCGTTTTAAGCGCGGTTTTAGCGAGAACCGAGATACATTCGAATCGAAACGTACATGATTTAGCGAAAATTTAAATCGAAATATATACCGCGAAGAGTAGTAATTCTAAATCGTGCGGGCATCTAGCGATGACGGTCGCGCACTAACGCAATTCAACGGGAAGGTCGCCCTGTGATCGCATGTGAGAGATCTAAAATGACAAGATACCCCGTAGATAAGAAGAACGCGCGCGTACGAGGCGCGCAGGATCGCGTTTCGATAATGCGTCAGCGCCACGGTAGATGGCCGTTGCACCACGTTGCGTGATAAAGCGGCCACGTGCTCACGCGTTATCATATACATGTACACACACACACACACACACATGTAAGTATAATAAAAAATTCACGCGCGAATCGTTTCGCGCGTATGTAATCGTTGCTCGACTAGGAAAATTGTGCAAGATTCATATTTCGACCTTACTCCGACACTTGACATTCACGCAACGGCTGAGCTCGGCACGAGGATACGCGCGGTGCACGTGCAATTATGCAATTATAAGTTTTGCATGTCGTCTGCGCGAAGGCCGTTTCGCTTGGATTCGATTAATCGCCGACGGGCGTTACCTCGCTGCTAGGTAGATAGGTAGGTAGGTAGGTAGGTAGGTAGGAGGTGGCCATCCAGAGCCAGCTAGCCGGCTAACTTAGCTAGCTGGTAATTCATGCGTCCTCTCGGGTAGAGGCACGACAGCCGGCATAGAAATCGCAGCGCCAATCTGGCGCCTGGTCATCGGAGATGTCAGATCGATCTACTCCGCGGTGCATACCAATCGACGACGCATCGTTGCATCGCGCGCGCGCTGGGTAGAGAAAAAGTCGGCCTTTGTCTACCTATCGCGAGGGAGGAGGTTCGTTCAACTTCTCTTTCTCGAGAACCTCTGCCGCGATTTGCATGTCGGCCAAGAGCTCATTTCAAAGCGGCCGCGCTCGTTAGATCGTTAATTCGGTTTTTTCGCTCGCTCGCGTCGTTGCACCTCGCCTCGCCTCGCCTCGCCTCGCCTCGCCTCGTCCCCGCGGTGGTATAATGCACGTGTGGTACATTGAAACTAATTAATCGTGTACGTTGCATTATGGATCGTCGTAACGTCGTACAATGCACGCCGCACTGCGCACTGAGAGGGAAATGTAGTCGATGTTATAAAAATTATAGTTATCTTCGATTGTATCTTCTGATGGTTCGAAGAAGAAAGTATGTGGTGTGCGTTGAACGGATAAATTAAACGACTGCGAGATTGATACGCAAACTTGTAGCTAATGCAATTTATTAGCATTTCTCCGGCTTTATTCGGTGACCTCGGTGACCTCAATTGTACGTATGTACACGACACAGGAGCGAAAACAATAAATAATAAATTTTTATATTTGAAATGGGTCTCTTTCTACATCGGTATCTCGGTGAACGCTAGTCTGCTCAGTTCAGGTATTATTTTTCATTTTACGCTCCATTCGTACTGTCGCGTCGACGACGTCCGATACATGTATATAAACATATCTATCTATATGTTATATACGGCTTGTGCGTATACACTTACATATGCCCTGAATTGACTAGGATCGTTCTATGGTAACATCCTATACACGTACACACACACACACACACACACACACATTACAATTACCCACATGTTCACACTCATACACCATAAGATGAGCGCGCACAATCAATATAGCGGATCGTCGTCGAGGCCCGAATGGGACATGTTTTGCGTATCACAGTAATATATCTAACGCATATTACAAACTTTGTACTCCGTGTGACGACGACGTAGCTCTCGCGTACAAAATGCGCGTCGATCTTCGCGATGAAAACCGCTCGTCCAAACTCACGGAGCACTCGTTGATCTCTACGCACATCTTGATATGCGAGGTCTTTCTTCTTACAGTTGTGCCTTTCGTCCGTGAGTGAGACGACATGTGACGTGTATCAAATAGCGCCCATCAATGTGCTTTCGGTAACGATACAAAACTGAAAACTGTACAGTGGCGATTATTTTTATTATTATTATTATCATTATTATTATTTTGCTTCTTATCGTTATTATTGTTAGTATTATATCATTACCGCTACTCCTTTGTCCGTATAACGAAAGCTAACGACGATCTGTGTAAATGTAAACGTTAACAACTTAGCACCTGTACAGCCTGAGGAAAGAGAGATCCTACAAAAACGTCGATGGAATACCGTCGTTATTTACTGAGAATGTGCTAATCGAACAGCCGCCATTTCTCTTCCTTTGGTACTTTGCGAAAGTGACGACACACACAGTCACGCGGACAGAAAGGTCACGCGCAGTGTTTTGTGCGAATTCCGGAACGTATCCGTCTAATCCAGTAGAAGAAATCGTTTTTTAATGGAAATATTCTCTCATCAGGCGAGACATATGCGTTCTGAATACGTTCGCACGAAAAATTACGGACAACCTTTCCGTTCACAAATTTTCGGTTTATCATAGCCAAATATGCAGAGAAAGAGAGAGAATGACTGACTCGCCGAGAACGGAACACTCGCACAGGCTTATCTTGTCGCGGAGATGAACGCGCAAAAGTACGATACAGCGGTGTCGAAAGACGATCATAATAATAATCTTAACGAATCATCCCGTCTCGAGCACTTCTTCTGCCTCGACCAACTTCTTTTTCTTCTTCATAGTCACCCGTCATTCCATTTCAGGATTATTGCGTCACTTTTTCTTTTCCCATGTCGTGTTTATCACCTTGCCTTTGTTTTTTGTACGCCGCACAGTCAGGATCGTGGATCGCGATAAAAACGGTCGTCGCAAACTCGAAGAGATCCAAAAATAAACGAGCGAAATCTTTCGATTACGATCGTTTTATTGGATTTTTTTTCGCTTTCCTTGACTCGCCGAGCACAAAACATGTCGGGAACGTTTTGCGCGCAATCATCTGCGCCTCACACGCTCTTCGTGTCTTCGAGTCGAAGAGATTTTGTCCGCGTTCTGTCTTCTTGGGCTTTGAACGATATCACCTTGCATGACGTGTCACCTTGTGTCACGCTCCCGCGGACGAAGCCGCTTGTTCGCGTTAAATTGGTCGCAATAATGGTGGCCTGCAGGTCCGAAACTTTCACCAGCGAATGTGTCTCTTGTACTCTTCGTTTATGCTCATTCTCTTGATGGTCTCGTATCCTAAAATTATCGAGAAACTAAAACATGCGGATTGCACGAGTCTCGCGGACAGTCCCTTGGTGAACATGTGTAGGCCTTCCTCGATCCATAAGATTCTAAAGGCGCTGATCATACTGTCCAGCCTCTGAACTTGCAGTCTCGCTCGTACGATGTCCAGGGGATTCGTGATGATCGTAGTGGTGAATCCGCCAAACGTCCCCGCGATGGCTTGTATACACAAGTGTGAGAACCAACTCGGAAGCAGACGTAAAAGCTCGTCTGTGCAATAAACGTGTGCGAAGAACGTTTATCATTTTTTATCAGTGTTCTTACATATTTAGACAGTTTTAAATGACTTTAAATTATTGCATGAGAACAATTTTTTAGAGGAAAACATAAGATTTTATAATTGAGGAACGTGTCGACATTTTGCCTCAATTTACTATCCTCAAGTTCCAAAAGTGCTTTTTATATGTTAGGAAAGTAAATGTTACTTTCTAAATAAATAAATATCTAGTGTCAATCCCAAAAATATAATTTACATCATTAGAAAATTTAGCATGTTCCTTAGAAGGATGGACTCTTACTGACAATCTGTTTCTGCGCTATTAACCAAACTTGAGAAACACGATAAAATTAAAAATAATTTACAGTCTATATAATATATTCTCTCTCTCTCTCTGTAAGCAGACCGTGGTTTTTTACAAGATCTTTTACCTTGATAAACTGTATACAATCCCCACCAAAGGGCGCTATTAGGCACGTACGCACACAGGGACGCCACGTAGCCTCTGTAAAAACCGCGATAACCATCCCTCTGATAAATCAGCCTGACTATTTCAGCACAGATTTGCGCGCGTGTCTTGCCGGGCTCGAAGGTTATACCCAGCGGGTTCATGCCGAACTGGAATGAATTCTAAATTAGTATTGCGAATTTGAATAGACTCAGTAATGGCCAACGAAATCACAATCATTGGATGACGCATAGCAGCAAGTACATATTTGCTCGAACAAATCTTCTTCGTCCGAGCAAATTCTCATTGATTCCGCTACTCCCACCCTCCCCCCGCCCTCTTTCTCAGTAAATAGAGACGTTGTGACGCACCTTGTCCACGGACACCCTGCCGTGTTTGGTACTGTGGATCCCGAGAACCATGAGGTGTTGGCTGAGAACGTCAAAGGGCACGACTATCGTTTGACCGACTAGACTGGCGGCACCACCCGCGATTAAGGCTTTGACTTTTGAGTCCACATGACCGACGGATGTGTCTGTGAGCAAGTGACGCACACCTTCGTACGTCGACACGTAAAATACCCCGGAGACGATTTGAATGGAGCTTATCCAAAAGCCCCTGTAGAGACCCGACAAGCCTTCTACTTTGTGAATTTTCCTACATGCATCTATCATACCTGTCGAGAGAAAAGGTTGCACAATTAGATTGTGTGATTCTTGTCTCGTGGATAAGTGATGAGAAGCTGCCTTAGGTCTAACTTTTTACACAGAGAGGATGTTGTAGCATTTTTTCCCATGAATTCTTGTCAATTTCACCGTGTCTTCTAGTAATACAGAGATATACCGTCAGTAGAGTTTATCTTGCCAAGGAACACAATAAATTTTCCAATAGTTTATGTAGAGATTCAGATTCTTCTCAGTTTCTGAGAAGTAATGCTTATAAAACGAAAATAAATCAAGGTAGAATATTGAAACATCCTGTGGTTATGAAATTTTACAGTAATTTCTTTCTTGAATTGCTTAAATCTCTCAAGGTCGAATACTGATATACTCTTCAGCCACAGGATTCTATAGTAATTTCAGTTCTCGATCACTTTTATACAACAGTTCTAAAGTAATTTTTCAAAGGATTACAAATTCCCTGTAAATAATTACTTGTACAATATAATCTTACTGTAAAACTCTCCGCACAAAAGAACATTACATTTCATGAAAGATACGGAAGTTACGTCTGTGATTTTCTACCTTTTTTCTCGATACCGATTTAAATCAATTCGAAAATGAGCCTTTCGGTTCACGCAGAAGCAAATCCGCACGTACCATTGTACATGTGATTTTGTCTCTGCACCTGGAGGCGAGTCTTGATCACCGTCAAGGGATACAGGCAACACCTGACCGAAAATGAGGACAGCATGCTCAGTGGGAAGAACTTGCTCTTGTCCATCATATCCCACTCGATGGTGCGGATGAATGGTGTAGCCTCTACCGCAGACATTTCTCGAGTGATCAGCGATATCGTAGCTCGCGGTGATAAATTCAAACGAAGAACCGGGCTGAGGATTCGTTCCAACCTGATGCCTCATATCTCATCGGTGTGTAACAGGCAGTGATGCCTCAAATTCCCAGCAATCTGTAAATCGACTCGTTAATTTGTCATCTGGACGTAATTAATATGCCGAACGAGAAGCGCGAGATTCCCATCTCGCTTCAGCATGTGAGATCGCGAAGTAGCGGAGAACAGCGAGGTGTCGAGAATTTAGGTTATCCTAACCTCCTGACGGAGGAGATTTTTTCGTGTGGTTAGGAATTTCACAGCATATATATATATATATACACATGATACGTTCGAATTTCGATTCGAGCGTCCTCCTTAAAGCATATTCGAGACGAATCGCGTCCACTTGTTCACGGAATAAACACGAGAATTGTCAGAGTCCCAAGAGAGCGGGACCCGACCTAAGGTGAAATTCGAAAGCGCGTTTCGCTCGTATTATTCGCGAAGCAAAACAGCCACGAAAATACATAAGCGGTTATATCTCGCGGCGGCGGATAATTTTAGTACAATGTATCCATAGCATGAGGAAGATTGGATATTGCGTTGCAAAATCGCGACTTTATCTCTCGACGACGCGCGTAACCGCTTGTTCGTCGCTACCACTTTGGCGCGACAAAACGATGTTCCCAATGTGCGAGTTTCTTTTTTTTTACCGGCCCTGTCGTCGTCGTCGTCGTCGTCGTCGTCTCTCTCTCTCTCTCTCTCTCTCCCTCTCTCTCTCTCTCTTTTTCTCTCTCTATCTCTCTCTCTCTCTCTCTCTCTCTTGCACTTGAGAACGGAGACGACAGTTGCGACAAATTCGCGGGATTTAATAAGGGTTCAGGATTGTTACCTACAATGGTGCAATGCGCCCTGGAGATGACGAATTTCGCCACAATCGACGTTCGTTCTCGAGGAAAAACTCTCCCAATATTGACGTCACAAGTGAGCGGTCATGCTGCTCTGCGCCGTACGTTACACCACCAAACACTCGCTACATTCTACGCCGGTCTTAAAATCGCGGAATTCATCGCTCGTCGGTGGACTAACCGTGACACCACGGAAAATTGCAGGTCCGTTCCTCCTAAGTTCTAACTGCACCGTGTGTACTCCCTTTCGGTATCTCTCTTCCCTCTTTTCTTCCCGCATCGTAATATGTGCTTACCTCATGCCGGGTGTAAAAAGTGCAGCCAGCACAGAGCAGACCTCGTGAATTGAGAGCATTCCGCGGGATCGTTGGCCTCTGGTGTCGCCTTCTGGAGCTGCACTTTCTTCTATTTCTCTATCTTCTTCTTCCCATCCAGACTCGAGTACATATGTCCATCTTTTTCCATGCATTGAGGACGCATCACGGTACAGTTGGCAGGAGCAGACCCGATAGAGTGAGTTGTACTCTGTGATAAGAAAATTACGCAACCAATAAATCCGCGGTTTTTTCTTTTTTTTTCGTAAAATAATAGGCACGAAGAGCGATCGATTGATATCGGGAATAAATTTACGACGACCATGGTACCAACTCGGAAATTAAATCAAGCATTGCTCTATATCGCGAAAGTCCGAAATATCAGCCTAAAACAAAATAAACGTAGATTTATTCGCTTCTACTCGAAGAATTATTTATACCAAGTCACAATAGTAGTTTCTTTTGTTATTTCTCATTTAGTTTTTGAAACAATTCATTTGACAATTATTCATTTGACGAATATTGCGAAACAAAAATCACAAGAAATTTTCTTGAGAAATCCGCCAAAGAACTGAAGAACTGCACTGCGCGGCGTGCACTAAGCACGCACCTGTCAAAGCAGCCATATGACGGAGCACGTGTTTCTGGCGCGTGCGCACACGAGAGACTGGACGCCTCACGCCAAGTCGTCGGAGCACATTGCGCGCATGCACATGTATTTCTTCCCACTAGCGACATCTCCGTATCGAATCCCGCGATGTTACACGATGTGAACATTTTTCTCGTACCAACCGTTACTCAACGTCGACTGCGAATGCATCGTCAACAATGTACCTTCGGTCGCATTTTACACATGATCCGAACGCGGTGTAATAAATCTGCGCATCTACGAAATCTCGAGGCCACTTCCTCGAATAACAAGAAAATGTGAGTTGACTTGCGTGCTACATTGTATAGCATCGAAATCGAAATCGAAAGAACGCGTTGAATATTTTGCTCAATATCGCGATTGTTAATTCGCGGTTAGGTTAGGTTGATCAAGGACAAAATTTGGAATTTCGTTGTCTCGGGGGGCAAATCGACGATTAGAGATTGCCATTTTCCTCCTCTTGGCACCGGTTTCATACTACCTTACGATTATTGAAATGAGAGCCAAGAGGAATATTTATAAGTATGACCGTTGCTCCCCCTCTCTCTCTCTCTCTCTCTCTCTTTTTCTCTTTTTCACGTCACATTTAGATTTTCTTCAGTCTCGAGCTGAAGAATCTACAATTTGTCGAAAGATGGAAAAGTAAACCTACTTACTATCTCGATCACATTGAACACGCATTAATTAACACTGTCTAAATATCGCGAGATGATTTTTCGTAGAAAAATTCTCTCTCGACAGTTTCTCGCAGCTCGCGGGAAATCGCCGGAACGCTCATCTCGAGAGAAACGGAGACGAAGAAAGAGAGAATAAAGAACGAGGGCGAACTGAAGGGCTTTCATCAGGGCTTCACCGCAGCTCTGAGCTGGTGCGGCGACCTCTCGATGGTGCGATCGAATCGAATTCGCAGCGGAGCTCCGCGCCTCGCGGCGCGAGGCGAGTACAACCCGAAGCGTCTCGCTCTCGTTTTATCTCTCTTTCTCTCTTTCTCTCCCCCGCACAGAAGTTCTCGCGACGCGCGGCACATCGCGTATATACCTGGCCGTGATCGGGAGCGTCATGTGCGTCGCCAATGAATTCCATGCTCCGCCCAGCACCCCGTTGCAGTGGTCGGTGTGGCGCGGATGAGCGGCGAAATACGCGCAGGACTGAATTCCACGTCACGTCGGGGGCGTGTACGCGCCGGGACCGGTACAACCCTCCGGCTCTCGTTCGGGGGTGGCTCGCCCTCAAGGGTAGCTGCGTTCGCGCGACTAGGAGATCAAATCACCCGATTCAGTGCTATCTTCGATCTTCGCGCCGCAACACACCGACGACGACGGCGACGGCGACGGCGACGGCGACGGCGACGGAGAGATCGGCCGGGTCGCGCGTTCACCCTCGGATCGCCGCGTCGAATATTCAGTGAAAAAGAGGGTTTCGTTTCCAATAACTTGCGGCTCGTTATGATGAACCTCGCTGATCAGGAGGTACCCGCTGCGACCACGGAGTTGGCGGGTTTAGTAAGTAGCCAAGTCAAAATCTATCTCTTATCTTCAGAAACGCTAAATGCCACACTGCTTTCGTCAGTTCGCTTGCGAATCGTCATGGATGTGTGATTCCCATCTGTCTCTCGGCCGGTAAAAAGTAATTGTAGATACTGAAAAGCGATACCCTCTATGTCAAATCTAGAAAATGGTATTCATAGTTGGTCAGGCTTGTCTTCTATCACTACTTTGGCTGCACTGCTCTTGCGCTAGTTATCTTTTTCCTTTTTTTTTTTTCCAACAAGTCTGTGTAGTTGTCTTTTTTTAAGTTTCGAAAGTGTACATATAGTTTAGCGATAGAAAACAAGCGTCTTATATTTAAAATACCTAAAGTGTATCTTGAGATATCTTCATCATCGATCATGTTAGACACGCAAAATTCAAGTTACGTAAAACCGATCTTCAGGAAAAACCTGATATTCCCGACTCTTCGTTTCGACGTGCCACGATACTTCGTATCTCCTGGTTTCGGCTACTTGCTTCTTCGTGTAACTTTCATCCTCGATTATGAGCGAAAAGTCGGACGGATATCCGGTCGACGCCGCGTTATCTGTCGCGTTATCGCGCGTAGCGCGCAGCCCAATCACATTCATATCGCCCTCGATCGAGTGATTAAATGCCATATCGGACAACATCGTGCGAAAATTGCGACTATCGCCAGAAAGAACAATGGAACTGTCAAGACGCGAAGGAAAAAGAAAACTCTGTCTTACGTATCATCGCAAAGATAAGATTAAAAGAACGTAAACTGTATCCGCTTCGATTACGCTCAATCATCCGTACCTTCGATCTTTTATACAAGTCTTGATATATTAAGAGAAAAAAAGTTTGATATCCGTGCCTACAATTGCATAGTACGGCAATTGTAATAGGAAAGGAGTATTTTATAACGAGTTATAAAATTATGTAAAATATGTTTACAAAATTATGTAAAATTCGATTAAAGCTCAGTTCGTCAGCTTTCCAAGTTGAAGGTCTAAAAGTTGAGGCTCGTTAAAGACCGGCGCGTAAAAGCGCATTGGCGTCACTTCGATCCGGATATCCGTATCCGACTTCCCCGCCGATACAATAGAGCCTCCACCAGCTTCCAGATCGCCGTGTTGGTTGTGCGTAACACAATGCGGGCCACTCGAAAAAGAGAGAGAAACAGATAGAACGAGAAGGAGAGAAGGGGAGAGGGGGAGCCGATGATCGCGTCGGATGGCCGAATTGCCGTGGCACGCGCCTCTACGCTCCACTGGCATCGTCCCACGGGTGCCACCCCTTTTGTGTCCTCTAAACACGTAATTGTCACCGCTATAGCCAGCTCGTTCCCGCGTGCATGGATGCGTGCGTGCGTGCGTGCGTGCGTGCGTGCGTGCGTGCGTGCGTGCGTGCCACCACCGTGATGACGCGACACACGAATCCGTGGGTGGTCGATGGATGCCACGCTTCTCTGCGATGAGGCAGAAAGAGAGAGAATAAGGAGGGGGGAATGACTTGCTGAAGAGAGAAGGAGCCGCTACTTGATTTATGTTTGTTGATTCTAAAAATCAGCCGATTCCCACACGCTCTCTCCTCGTGGCCGTCGGACGGCGGCATTTAACTGACTACTGCGCGAGATAGCATATGTCGCCACTCGAGTTTCCCATGATTAGGGGTGGCTTCTTCTCGGGGTCGGGGCGTGTGCCGCGGATTACCGGTGCTAAATGATTGCGCTGGGTCAGTGTTGCTTCTCTCTCAGCATCGCTCACCTGACTGATTGACTTTGTGCGTGTACATATGTTGGTAGCGGTATGGAAACAGCAGTTGACCGCGTCGGTCCTGGAGAGTAGATGGTCTTGCGATTATATCCGCGTAGATTCAATGCTCTGGCTATTGTTATTTTAGAGCGAGAGAGAAGGATCCCTCTACACGGAGAGAATTCCCAGATAGTCGGGTTCCTTTCAATTTTGTCATGTCTTGTATTAGTGAAGAAATAGACTGTCGGTTGAATTTATCCTGATATGTAAGAAGTATAGTGAATTGTTTAATAATAAATTTTTTCGGTCTTTGAAATATAAATATGACATGGATGATAGGGAAGGATAATAATAAATTAAGGCGGAATGTCGATGTGCCCCACGACGGTTACAAAATTCTGTGTTCACCAGAAAATGTTTTCTGTGCAAGAAGAAGCAGAGAACGATACAGAAATTGCGAGTCACCAAAAGTTTTGTCCACAACGTGATCTGTACGACGAAGAGCAATTAGCTGATAAACTTGACCACTCCCCAACGCGTTCTTTAATCTCGAGATCTCTCCCATATTGTCCTTCTCGAGTCAAGCATTGTTCGCCTTCTGCTTTTCTCGCCGCTATTGTCATTGTCTTCGCACCTCGCCGTCTCGCTGAGGATGGCGACTGAAGGCGGGAAGAAACTTTTTCTCGCTAAAGTAACAGGGCTCTTCTCGCGTGTAATTGGTAAAATTGTCTGCTATTATATATACCGACGTATAATTAGCAGTGAGAACTTCGCCTTTTATTTCGCCTGTTTCTAACTAGATTTGTCGCCTAATCTAAACGAATATACGCGAAATGTAATGGTTCTGTCTCATTTAATATGAGCAAAAATTACCGTTACATGTCGATTGCCAGAAACCTCTCCTGAGAAATTGAAAAAAATTTAGGAAACTATTTTCCCCGACGAAAATATCGCTGCTTTCAGATCTTCAACATTATGTAGTTTTATATCGGCATGTTTAAATTAAATTTTTCGAAAATCGATAAATTACCTAAACTTTGTGCCGGGAACGCTTGCTTGAAAGTTTCACATCCATCTTTAACTCCCTTCGAAAGTGACTCTTCGTAATTTAGGTCACATGCACCACTCTTCTGGTGCTTCACGTTCAGAATCTCGCTTCCGACTGTCCGTCGGCTCGAGATCGGCGATCGCGCGGGATCAGAGAAGGGATTAGGTAGTTTCGCAGCATGCTGTCTGCTCGATGACTTTATTATAAACCGAACCGAAGTGCACAATTACGAGGGTGGTGAACGGGGGGAGGAGAATTTGGGGAGCCGCGCTGCCGACCCCTTCAGCCCCATTGCGAACGACGGGGCGTTTCCTCGACGAATCGTCGTCGTCGTCGTCGTCATCGTGGATATCTCTCGTTTTCACGAAGCGCACGAACGAACGAACGTACACATACTTGCTCGATCTCGTTCGTCTAAAACGACATCCGCTGGGAAAGGTCGCGATGTCTGACGAATAAAGCGTTAAATGGTACGCGCGCGATCGTCCTTTTCCCATGTTTGCGTTGCCTGCTCACGCGTCATTGCCCGATTAATTCGCTGTTAAATCCCGGTATCCGGGGAAAAAGTTTCTCTGGAGGGTAGATCCATTTCGATCGTAAGATACGGCAATAGTCGCTTATGGAGGCAAACATTTATAATTAAATTAGCAAGAGAAATAAAAACTCGTACTCGGTATTTTATAGCTTCTTTTCGTATAGATCGTCTTTTGTCTTATCTTATTATCGTGACCTTCAGTTTCCAAAAGCAAAATAAATATAGCACACGTGAAAAGGAAGAATAATAATTCAGATTAAAAATATCGATGTTCCGTGCGCGGCTGTAAAATTCGAGATTAATTTCTGCTGTGCAATTCTTTTCGTGCAGATACACAATCGAGTGATATCAATGCGGGCAAAAATTAATATATATACATACATATAGGCTCTCATATACATTGGCTCGTTTATATTACTTGATTGAATTGCTAGTATTATAATTGGAAAGTTAATTGTGCATACAAATCGTGCATTAGAATTACATAAATATTTTTCATATCGAACGTTCGCGAAATGATTCTCGAGGCGTGGCCGTGCGCGCGATTGAAATATCCTCATCGGGCGCTCATGAACCTCGTTTTTGCCGTCAGTAAATATGTATACATAGCGGATCGGCGGGCGTATTAAACATTTAAGGCGGTATTAGTGAGTGTAATTAAAATTTATGTCCGAGCGCGCGCGCGCGCGCGCGCATGGCTCGCGCGGATTACGGGCGCCGTGCCATCGCGACGGCTAATTGCGGACGACGATTAATTGCGATCAAAGGAAAATCTCGAGGAGGAATTATGAACAAATAATGGAACTTCAACACAGCGTGACTCCCGATCCTGGATACGTTCGTTAATATCAATATCTGCGTTTTCCCGCCAGCACAGACAGGCGATCGTACGCGCAAACGGAAAGCTATAATTTCTTTCGTGCTTGTAGAATCCCATGGTGTCGGCATTTTTACTGTCCCGTCATTTTCTCAATTGTCCAAACAGAATTCTTGTGCAAAGAGAATTTTTAATAAATATGCATCGACATCGACGGAAAATGTTCCGAAACTTCGAAGATGGGATATCGATTTTGGATGCTAGATTTCGATATTATTAGCTCTCTAAGTAGTTTGATGTATCCCTTTTTAAATTTGAGTACACATCTCTTTTCCACACAATGCATGCCCGTCGAATTTCTGCGAGAGCGAAACGTTGATGAAATCTGGCATGAAATCAGCGTGTTTCGATCGGGAATAAATTTTGTGTACCTTTTTACGCTATATTACTTTTTTATTGATCGTTAATTTCTTCTCGCGAAGAAACGATCGACTCGCCCCTCTGTCAAGTCCGCAGTCAAATTTCGCGGAATCAAAGGTAACGTTCGCGTTATCGAAATTCCCAAAACCGGTAACTGAGTTTACCACTAGATTGCCCCGCAAGGAACAGTTGGAGGAAACCGTCCAATCGTTCACCGGATGTCTTCCTTGCCGCCTCTCTTACCCACTCCCTAACCCTCCTTCTATTTCTCACTGTGTCTTTCGCTCCTATACTGAGAGTCTCCGAGCCTTACACAGTCGTTCTCCTTGAAATTAATTGCATTCTCCTTTCGTACCCATCCACGATCTCTACGCGCTCTCTCTATCCTCGAAAGAAAAAAATAAGAAAAGAAAAAGAAAAGCGCATCAGTCAAATGCCAGTAGCATACTGCGGATACGTATACATTGTACTTTCCGGGAAGAGAAATAAATATTGCCGAGTATAAATTTCCAGAGCAAAATGTTTATCCTTCTTAATATCTTAATCTTTGCGCATCGTATTCAGAAGAAATCTCGAATGAATTTTCCTTGATACGTTACGTTTCTCCGCGATTTCTATCTTGTCATTTTTATTATTCTTATCAGTTTTACCTGCCAGTGTCATTCTACGTTGATTGTTTTGTCATAAACGTTAATATATGTCGCGCGTTTGTATAATGTGGCCCTGATCGAACTGTCGTTCATTTGCGATGTGAGATCCCAATGGAATCGTGTGTGCGAGGTATAAAACTGATGCGATACATCACGTTTGTTGCACTCTCGCAAAAGATCTCATCGCAACGCACAATTTCACAAATCTCTGCACGTCTCTGAGCTCGACTCGGCGTAGAATCGCAAAGATTCGGAAAGCTTTGCGCGCGTCTTACTAATCCACGGCTTACATTTTACTGTTGCAGCCCGGAAACGGATTCGGCAGACTACCTGAGCCGCTGCAGACAGTCACCGGGGAATATTGCTCCGCCAACTACCCGGTGTCTTCTCAGGCAACGGCGAACAACGAGAAGCTACACACCGGTGAGTGAGCGAACAGAATCTCCGCTGACACGGCACTTCTCATAGCTCCGTGTCAGGATCCGATATTCTTTCTCCCTCTTTCCCCTCCCCCCCCTCCATTTCCCCCCTCCCACAATTTTTCTTCCTTTTCTCGCTTTTCAATTAAATGCGTATCGGGGCGAAGGAAAGGGTGAGCTTGTGAGCCAAGATCAAATTTCCTATGCGCGCGCCGCTCTGTTTCTTCCCGTCTTTTCTTTTTTCTCCTTTTCGTTTTTTTTTCTTTTCTTTCGTTTTTTGTTTCTTTCTTCTTTTTTCCCCGAGAGAGAAAGTATCCGCGGGCTCTAAACTGCTTTGGCGTCTTAACGAGCTTGCGAGGATGTAATCAAGGGAAAAGATGAGTGACGCGGGGCAGAGGCCGACCGGTCGATTCTTCGATACCCCCCGTCTCTTCGACTTTGAAGCTCTTTGATATCGTCGTCGTCGTCGTCGTCGTCGTTGCCGCGCTCGGAGACGTTTCGCGTCGTCGCGTTTCCATCGGCAGTGCCTTCGACACGCACGAGACAAGCCGACTGTGTGTAAACGCGTGTAGTTCGCTAGCGTATACGTTGCAACGATCATACACACATATATACACACACGGGAAGGGCACGTTCGGGAGCACGTGCGGGGATGTGTACCCCGAAACGAAGCGTCGGCGAGGAGGCAAAGAGAGAGGGTAGCGAGCTGTACCCCCCGAAGAGAGGCTGTCACACGCAGGCAGACTCGAGTCGATATCTTTATATAGTCGCATCAACGACGACATTATTTTCTAAAGGTCGCGGTGACGCGCGGCTACATCGCCCGAGACAACAATCTGCCGCGATTACGCGCCGAAATGCTGCACAAATCGGCCGGTGTCTTACCACGAAATATCTCTTTGCGTAACAAGCTCAGGAGATTCACAGGAAAACGTCCATGATCGATTTAATACTCAGAGAGAATTTTACGGCGAAAATTATTGTCGAGTTTTTCTATATTTCCGGCTAACATATTCGATATTCTTGTTCGATCTATCATCTTTCCGTGTCATTTGTTATTTATATTTTAAAAACTAAAGTCTACAAAAAATTGTATCGTGTTCCTTAGCAAGAAATACGTTACTAATAGTCTATTCTTATATTATTAGAAAATAATAAAATGGAGAAAAACTTTTACGAAGGATTTTAAAAGAATTTATGAAATTCAGTTTAGGAAAAGTTAAAAATTCAATTTATAAGCATTTATATGATATTAGAAGAAGACTGTCATCGCAATTCGTCGAATACGAATGAAGGATCGCGGAGGAATTCGTCCCGGACGAGTCGCGAGATATCTTCGACGTCGTCGTCGTCGTCGTCGTCATCATTATCATCATCGAAGACCTGCGCGATAGGAATTAATCGTCGTCACCTTTCGTTACGAGGTGCTTCTTCCGTCGGCGAGACCGTCTTAGCCTTGACCTAGAAACGCGTCGCCAATTCCCCGATACGAAATTCAATAAGTGACGTGTTATCACCGCAAAGACCTCCCTTGGGCTCCTCTCGCAAGCGGGGGACGCGACCCCGTCGTACCCCCCGTACTTGCGAGAGCAAGAGAGAAAGAGAAAGAGAGTTGCACAGCTACCCCACCGGCGTCTGGCTGCCAGTGATTGACACTTTATATCTAGCATTGGCATGGGCCGTGGTGTGAGCCACCACTCAGGGATGGACCACCTCCGCCTAACTCAATCACTGCCTATAATGCCGCAATTTCTCTATCATAATCGCGTTACGTCCCCTCCTTGCCACCGCGGCTCGTCGATCCACTCCTCGACGACGATTCAGAAATATTGAAACTCGAACGAAAATACCGTGCATCCCCCCTCCTCTCTCTCTCTCTCTCTCTCTCTCTTTCTCTGCCTTCCTTCGCTTGACTTCAAACTTTTGATCTCAACTGGTTCATTTTAGACTGTTTGAAATAATTTGTTTCAAATTGCTTCAAACAATTTATTTCCAAAAAGTTAATAAACACATACACGATAATGTCCATCGATGTAGCTCGAAACTGGCTAAATCCGTCACGAATGATAGCGAATCGAGACGTAGGCTTGACACTCGAACATGAGAGCATCTTCACGGAAGGGCTTAACGAAGAAGAGGGTCGTAGAGAAAGAGTATCGTTGTACACGAGCAATGAGCTGTAGCGTAAGTAGATTCGATTCAGCCGCAGACCGGGTTTCTCCGCCGTGGAACAAAACGAGGTTACCGCCGAGTGGCTACCCATGGCGAATCCTGGAAGGCCCATTAAACGCGCACCCCAACGTTACAGTTTTCCGTCGCGGCATTCTTATGCGTCCGTTCGCGCCGAAGGGTTTGTTTTTGCTTCTGATTCACTCGGGTCAGCCTCCTCGGCCTCGTCACATTCCCTTTGTCTTCTCGCTCTCGCTCTCGGATCCCGCTCATTCCGATTCAGAGATCGATCCGCTTTCTTACCGTCTGGGCCGGAGATTCTGAGCGCCGATGAATACAAGGTCCTTTCTTTCCCAATGAACATCGAATTACCTAACAGTCCTGTGACTCACAATTTTGAGCATTAGATGCGCTCTTAACTTCATCAGAAAAGTATTTTCGGACCGTTTCGCAAACAATTTCTGCGTAACAATTACATCGTTGAGTGACCATTTATAATTTATGTAAAATGTTGCACTCTTGATGTTTGTCGGATATTTCTTGTATGTTGCATATGCTAAATATACACATGCATATGAACAACATTTATTGTGGTTGCAGGGGGCGAACTGTACATGCCGCATGGCTACAGGCAAGAGACCTGGCTGCAAGACGGTGAGTGTTCTATTTGATATTTCATCCGCCTCGTGCAATAATTCAATTATTTATAACATTGGTAATTTCGTGTTAATCTCTGCGCGTCACATGAGCCTGACTCGAGTACTCGCTTAATCCTACCCAAAGCATCAGCCCGGATAGCTCAGTCGGTAGAGCATCAGACTTTTAATCTGAGGGTCCAGGGTTCGAGTCCCTGTTCGGGCGTTTCTTTTTTTTTTCTTTTTCTTTTTTTTGTCATTATACCGAAAGTTTCTGCAAGTTTCCGATGAAAACGATATCATTGTAGTCGAATAATTAACTTTTTGCAGTCGGTCCGAAAATTATTTTCGACTTTCTTTCCCAACCGATCCGTAGAAACATTAATATAAAATATAAATAATATCGTACATTTTCGTTTAATTCATTAATATGATATAATATCATATAATATAATATCATATAATATCATATAATATAATATTAATATATTAACAATAAATTTATTTACTTTACAACACACACGATATAGCACGCGTAATTTGCGTTTATTTCAGTATTTAACTAATGCAACAAAATATATATAACAGTAATATATTTATATTGAGTACATTATTAATAATTAAGAAAGTTGGTTTATAAACTAGTACGAAACGCGACGTAAGGTTAAAACGAAAAGAGGAGATGGGCATGTTTTTACTCCTTTATGCAGTTTCACGAATCTAACAGCATGAGGAAGTAAAAAGTCGCATACGATTTGTACAGTTGGTAAATCGACGTGATAACGATGAAGAACGGTAATGTGCAACGAGTATTTGCGTTTGTTAATTGGAATTTTATGAAATGACGATGACAATCCTGGGAGAGTGATTAGAATTCGAGATGCTCTTTCAAAGTTCGCTGTCGCGAAAATTCCGGCGTATCGATTTTCGGAACCTATAGAGATGTAGCGTAAAATTATTCCTAAGCCACGCCGGGGCGAAGAGATAATTACGCACGGCCACACTGTTCGCTCGGAACATTAATTTTAATTAGCTCGTCCAACCGTGATGTAATACGCGATGGACGTGATGTAACGGACGATATCAAAATGGGATGGGGGGCGAACGGATTTTATACCGACCCTACGGGGAAACGCGTTCTCGTCAGGACTTCGAGTCGAACTTTCAGACTTTTTTCTCTATCTCTTTTTCATTGTCTCATCGCAGTCCCGCCGCAGATGCAATATTTTTTCTCGCAACCATATCGTATTTTAATCTCACGTGCATTTTCTGCGCAGGCAGCGGCTCCGATACCGAGGACAGCGAACAGTATGTGCCCGAATTTCATCAAATGTCAAGTGAGTGACCGTCATATTCTTTTGGATTGATTCTTTTCTTTTACTTTTAGATCGATACTTAACGAACGCGAGAAATAATCTACACGCCTTTGCACCAGTATTTTATCTGATTTTCCTTCATTTCTTTAATTTTATTTTCATCAAAGTCGTCGTTGAAGGGTCGACAACGCATTTAATGAAATTAATCGCATGCGGAAAGATTTCGCGCGACATTCGACGCGCCACGATTCACGGCGTCTGGGTAATTCGCGTAGATAAATAAATCCGGGACTCGCACGGGATGGAGGATGTCAATCTCCGCAGAAATCACCGCGCGGGATCGTGCGGCGCGCGAAACACTTCCGCGCGCCGCCGGTTGGCTTCTTCGGCCTCGAGATTGCTCGGAAAATCTGTTATCCTGTATTGCCGCACGTCTGGACGTTCAGAAATTCTCTCCCTTCGAGATACGCAACGCACATTCTCGACCGTTTCATAATAGCCGAACATTAATGAATTGAAGCAACGGCGAAGACGATGAATATTAAAATTTTTGCGAGAAACAGGAATTGACGACACTTTTAATTGAAAATGCAACTAAACATATGCTTATTATTAGTGTACAGATATTATATAATTTTCAACGTGCGCGAGAGATAAATTTGAACAATTTACCGCAATCTCTGTCTCTTTCTCGTTATTTTTGAAATATACGTATAAGAAAGATGGTTTATTGTTTCTATAGAAAAAAAGCACATATTTTTTTATATACTTGAGAAGAAGAGTTCTAATTTCACATGTGCAATAATACAAGATTCGAGAAGCATGGGATCTTGATTTTCCCGCTCGAGCCAATGTAACTAACTAGTGGTTAATCAAATTACGTTCCATACAACGCTCCCGGATTTAAGGGTTAAAGGTTAATCGTCGATATCGACGAATCAATTAGTAATCGGTTATACGCCGCGGGCGTGCATGTTTAATTAGCCGCCGACACTTTCGGCGTGCGCGTTGCGGTTTTATCGGCTGTTTCGGCGACGGCCTATTTTTCACTGACGGTCGAAACAACAAGCGACCGTGTGGTGCTCTCGATTTACAACGGCGGAATTTTCCCCGCTAAATAATCGCGGCTCTAAATCCGCGGCTTGTGCTGGCGGCGACGGGGACGGCGGCGCACGGTGCAATATCAGTCCTTTATTAAAAACCAGTGAGAAGTTTGACCCGCGGGGCAGAATTCTTTTCAGCGTCGAGAGAGAGAGAGAGAGAGTACGAGAGTACGAGAGAAGGAGAGAGAAAGAACGGAAAGAATCAACACGCGGACGCGCTTCGTCTCTCCGCGCGGCCGATCATCGATATCGGATTACGCGAGTAAGCACTTTATATTAAGCCAGCGGCGTCTCCTCTTTTTTTTCATCTTGCTTTAATGCCGCGCGATTATTAACGTCATCGTCATCGCCGCCGCCGTTATCGATAACTCGCCGTTTCCGTGATCGTTATTATAATAAACAGACAAAAATTCGACCGTCGTATTTGACTTTGCTGATTCGACATTGAAACTCTCTCTTTATCTCTAGATTTACTATACACGGTTTACATTATTCCGCGCTCGCTCGTACGGACGGGCAAGCCAGCGAGTGTACGAGTGAAATTCGCGTACGGTACGCGTGTAATTCAGCGTCGAACGTTGAACAAACGTATCGTCGAACATTTCAACCGGGCAGGCAAACAGCCAGAGGGAATCGGGGGCTGACTAATGTCTATATGCACATCCGTACACACACACACACACATACATGAAGGAGGAGGAGAGAATGAGTGAGAGAGGAGGGAAGAGAGAGATAGAGCACACACATATGCGCGAGCGTTCACGTATGCACGTATAAAGATATGCACTCACATACATAGGCACACATACGATTCCCAGGCTTCGCGTATCTTTCGCGAAATATTATACGTAGCTTGTGACGTATTTAGGAATATATACGTCGATACGTGTACGCTTCCTCTGCTGCGTCGTTGTACGCTGTGGGATATAACGCGAGGATATAACGCGAGGATTTTTACACGAGGTTACATGAGGTGAAGTGGATTAACTGAAAAATAGAATAGATTAACTGAAAATAAAATTAGTTGGAAATTTTAACTGGAGATTAAGTAGACATTCAACTAAAAGCGATTAATTAAATGAATTGAAATACAAATCTACGGGAGTCGCGAACGCGCTGGATAACGCTTACGCTGATAAACTACATGCGGTAAAATTAATCTGTCGCAATGCGAGAATTTTTATCTATTAGATCTGGAATTGTAGCTTTCAGTGTTTTCTTTAATTGAGGTAAAATAGATAGATTTTAATAGTGGATTTAATCTAATAGAAAGATATATATTTTTAGATATATTGGATCTATATAAATCTATTAATCGATTAAGATGTATCACGTTTTATCAGCGTGTGATGTCGACGATTCGCGTTGATTCGTGAAGAAAAGCCAAATGACATTGCAATTTTCTTTCAATCAACGGGAAGCTCCTTGCTGCAGCCGCTTTCGCGTGTTTGATGAAGAACAATTATAATATGAGATCGCGAACACGCGCCGCGCCGTCCGCCGCCGCCGCGAGATAATTCAATCTATCAGGCGCGCACCACCGTCGCGCTTTCATATCGGTAAACTTCCAATGTTTACAAATACAATTATCGCCGGAGGCTCGTGACTTATGCTTCCCACGGCCGGAGCCTGTTTGATTTATCGGGGGCGCAGCCCTCGCCCTCGCAAAATCCTCGGCACCCCATTAGACTCCACCTTCCCGTCCCTTTTCCCGCCCCTACCTCACGTGTCGCTGCAGCGATGCGTCTTTACTTCCGGTAGGACACGCGCCCTTATGTCCTCCGGCGCCCCGCCGTTTCGTTCGGCTATGAATCGTCCGGAGAAACGATCGTCGTGTACGCCGCACTCGATAAATGGCAATGATATGCGGCGAAGGTGGAGGGGGCAGATCTGCAAAAATATCACGAGACTTGTTCTCCTGGTAGCGGTTGAAAAATAAAAACTTGCGAGAAGACGTGGTCGACAAGTCGTCCGAATTGAAAGCATCTTTATATTTTTCCATTGCGTGACCTTTATAATCTGTCGATTTAAAAATATATGCGCAAGTCTCGTGATTTCGAAAAAATAATGACGACGCAAACGCCGATGTAATCGCCCCGCTTGTGCTAAACAGGTGCGAGCGTGAAACAAGAGTCGAGCAATTGCACGAGAAATGGCGATGGTAGTTATCACCCGCAGTATCAGTCCTCCGTCACGCACAGCCAAAACGGCGATTTCCTCGAGCTCAGCTCGGACCGTTGCTTCGGGTAAGTTCGAGACAGAAGGGCGATCGAGTTGTATCGAGCTCTCTTCACAGTATCGCGAAGCGATCTCAAACGCCGACCTTACATAACGTTACGTTAACGTCGGCAATACTGCATGGAAAACATAATTCTCTATGCACACGGCAAGAAATCACTCGTGTTACTCGTCGTAGGAATCGAAAGATAAATCCGCAGATTAGCAAGAGCACGAAGGACGTCGCCGTGAAGGAGGAACCGACGGACCGGAGCTACGTGGAGCCGCTTTCCATCACAAACGTATCAGCATCCGCGACGACTCAGGACACGCAGAACGGTAAGTAAGACTCTCCTCTCTTATCCCGATCATCTATCTTAGTTGAATCTGTCGAAAGAACAATGGATAAAAAGTGCCGATTTTGGCCCATTGTGGGGGGACGAACAAAACGCATCATTTCTATAATATTTTGACCTGCTGAACACGATGCCGTCATTAGTTTCCCTCTAAACCTCGGGAAACATATTCAAATCCGAGGATTTATCATCCAATAATCGAAGAGCCCGGGAGGCCTTTGCAACTATATCCTTTTGTTTATAGATGGCCCCACTTTCGAGATATTCACTGATCATTACTTTTTTTAAATGGAAACCTCAATTTTTTTATTATATCACTCTTTTCTACTTAATTAATTTTAACAACTTTTGTCTGAAACAGTTTTTATATTTACCTAATATTGTTTTGAGATATTTAAGGAAAACTCGGTAACTTTTTCAATATTTAACTTACGATATCTCGCTAACTGTTTGTCGGAAGAAAAAATAGTATTAGATCTTTTTACTCTATTTGGTTTCAAGAATGTATTGTTACAATAATGCCCTGTCTTTTGTTAATTTATCGACCTTTGGAAATTTCAAAATCATCAACTTAGGATCTTATTACAAGAAACCAAGTCGCGTCGGATAAATTTTCTAGGGCAAATATCGAAAGAGAGAAAGTTAGAGAGAGAGAGAGAGAGAGAGAGAGAGGGGGAGAGAGGGGGGGAGAGAGAAGGAGAGCATGATTTCCATGACTTCTCTCGACTTCTCCTGACTTTTGTCTAACGTGCACAACGAGTACATCCACACCGTGACAAATCTCCGCACAAAAGGATCCACGTGGCGCTATTCCACCCCACGAAGTCCATAAATAACGGGGGGTTCACGAGGGAGAGAGTATCGCTCTGTCCATTAATCGAGTCGACTTCCGATTAGCCCTTTGAGGATTTTTCGCAGTTGTATCGACGATAACATCAAACCGGATCGGTTCGTGCCGTTCTTAATTGTCGCTAATATCAATTTCGCCCGGCCATGTCGCCATCGCCGAAGCGTGTGAATATACAATTTTTTGCGAAATCCACAGCGAAAGAGAGAGAGAGAGAGAGAGAGAGAGGGAGAGAGAGAGAGAGAGAGAGAGAGAGAGGAGAAAAACATAACAATTAATTCGCGAAAAATGTCCTCTTGCGTAGCTCGCAGTTGTCGGGATGACTTTGCCTTTTTTCATCCTGTTTTGCCGAATAAGCTGTATTTTGCATGAAATCTCGCGAGGAGCTCGCTAAAACGGCAGCTGAGATCTGACATTTCCTATGAACGCTGCGAGGCTCACGGCTAATGCATCGCGCGCTCCGCTCACGCGTGACTGAGCGTGCGTAATTGAATAATTAAACGATGCTTTCAAGTCGAAAGCTATGGGCGAGCGTTTTGTAGATTCCAACGAAAAGCTACTGAAAGAGAGAAGGAAAGAGCGCGACGGGAGGCTAGACCCCTAGGGAAAATGTAAGTCGAAAGCTTTTCCTGTGATTCGCGCGGAGCTCACGCAACGGAAAGATTCTCGCTCGCAAGTTTCGCATTGTGTCCTCGGTAACCATATGCGTGCGCACACATACACACACACACACATACACACACACACACACACACACACGCAAACTCTACGGTCCGCGCACGGCTGATCGAATCAGCCGAATCGCCGAATAAACAACGGAAATAATCGCGAGCTGCTTTTACCGCCGATTTTAGCGCCGATGATGGTAATTATCTAATAGGTTGCGAATCGAAGGTGAAAATACGTAGCACCACCGTCATCACCACCACCACCACTACCCTGTCCCGTCCCGTCTCGTCCTGTCCTGTCCCAGCCGAGCCTGGCCCGGCCCGGCCTGGCCCGGGCCGTCCACAAAAGGTAGAGTCGGTCGACAGGGGTTGCAAGCTCATGCTTTGTAATCAAACCGATTAGTCTTCCTTTATTCACGCATACGCATGCACACACAGCGAGCAAATCCTTTAGGATCTCGGTCGGCTATACCCACGACTCGACACTGTATACGCGATACACTCCACCCGCCTACTACCAAGTCACCTGGGATTATGCTCATGCTTCTCTTCGCGTAATTCTCCCTACCATTAAGCCGTTTTAATTATTTACACGTAGTTTAGGTTAATAATAGGATACATTCCCTATCGTATCGATATCCCGCAATCTACTTACGATCATCCAATTTGTTGCCGGTCGGGACGGGAGAGGGAAAGAAAGTATGCGTACGCATTGTACCGAAGAAACTTTCTCGCTCGTGACGCGCACCCTTTGCTCAGAGTCAACGTTCGAGTGCAAGAACGCAAATTTGAGACGCGGCTTGCTTCATCGCGTCGCTGAAATATGCAACGAGAGCAAGAGACAAAAATCGCGTAAAAACGTTTCTCGCGGCGTGACGGGAAAAATGCCCGGAGCATAGTATAAAATATTCGAGATGATCTCGTTTAGCGGGACAAACAATTCGGCGAGCGGTACGATACGATACGGGCGGAATAGTAATAACCGGTTAATGGATACCGATTGGTGGTCCCACAGTTCCACTAATTAATACGAGCAGAGGATTACGAGGATTACAGAGATCGCGACGGCCCGTTCTGATCGTCGACAGTCGTCTGTCTGCCGATGTACACGCACGCGGAAAATTCGTTGAGCGAAACCCCCCCCATTCCGCCGCCCTTTTTTCCCGTTACATAATAGGTCGAAGAAAAGAAATTTGCACAGCGTCCAATCTTATGTGAGAGATAAGATGAAGACAGCTCATTATTCGAAATCTTAAATCCACACTTGAAAAAAAAATCTAATTTTGCGTTAAGAGGAAAAATCCCTCGCCGGCACATCACTCTGATGAAAAATCCTTTTCGTGTAAAATTATCCCGAGGGCAAAACGGAACGAACGAGTAGTGTATACATCAATTTTTCTCTCTCTCTCTCTCTCTCTCTCTCTCGCTCTCTCGCTCTCTGGCTCTCTCGCTCTCTCGCTCCTCACTTTCTGCATATACCGGAATAAATATTTCGACGAAAGGTGAAAAAAACTGCACGCGTGAGCGAGCGACAATCGACAACGCGGAAAAGGATTAAAAAAAGATATTTCCCGCTCGTTCGGGAAAGGACAAGGCGAACTCGTCAGAGGTTTCGCCGCTTGTTAGTCAGGTGGGTAGAAAATAGAGCTTGCATTATTAACCGAGCACTATGCCGGAATTCGAGGATCAGCGAGCAGTAGAGGAGAAAAAGCGAGCGGCGGAGCGAGAGAAAGAGAAAGAGGATAGATAGTGGGAAAGAGAGAAAGGATAAAAGGTCGGGGGACGGAAGGGAAGAGAGCAGCCAAATACGCAGGCAGACAGGCAGGCAGGCAGGCGAACGCGTTTCTCTCGTCTGAGAGTGGACGAGAGTGGAAGCCATCCTCTTTTCCGTACGAGCTCGGTCGTCACTCCCCAGCTACCCTTCGCCGCCCCTGACCAGTCCCCTGAATTCAACCCTTCTCCGTCCTTCTCCTCTTCCTCCACCACCTCCTCCTCCACCACCTGCTCGTCCTGCTGCCGCGCGCTGGTGGTACATCGCCACCGGTTTCATCAGCTCGCGATTAATTTTAATCTAAAACCACCCGCAAAGCCTCTGAACCCCCGCGCACTCTCTCGCAGCGGCTGAGGTCAACCCCTTTCGCCACCCCCGCGTACCCAGTGCTCCCGTACCCCCTCTCGCCAGTCCCCCTTCTCCGCTGCTTTTCGAGAGAGTGCCAGATTGGCCCAGAGCTTTCAGCGTCTCTTCCGATCCCCCCCGTCTGTCCGAGATCCGACCTGCGTTCGCCGAAACGCACAGGTGAGGCGTGGAGACGAACGCGGTTGTAACTTTCCGCGGCTTTCGAACGGCTGGTAAAACATTCGCAAAGACAAAAAAGCCCGATGGGCACTTTTTCTATTAGTAGCCTGCGAATTTAATTTCCGCTCGTGTCTAAGAGAGAGCACCTACGGTTTTTCAATGTTCGACATCGTGACACGTTAGGTTCTCCAACAGAAGCGATCTCTCTCTTCCTCTTTCTCTTCATCTCATTTTGGAATTTCAAATTTTATATTCAGTTTGAAATATTGGAATTAGAATGTTACATAATGATCAACGGCTGGTCAGATACATACGATCACTCCTTTCTCGTTTCTCTTGCTGAAGGGACAGAAATAAAGAAGACTCGCCAGAGTTCGTCGAAAGACTCGCCGCCGTCGCGCGGTGGATACTCGTTAACGGTTTAATCTTTCAAGACGCGCTCGCAGCCGCATATCCTCTCCATGGAGATCCTCTGGAAATCGTTTTCACGGATGCGTCGCCGGAAAGAGTCCGTGCTCTCACGCGTCGTCGCGGCGCTTCCGATAACGCTCTCACGGCTGCATCGGATGCGTTGCTTCGCGTTATAGCAGCAGCAACACGACGTCGTCGTCGTCGTCGTCGTCGTCGTCGTCGTCGTCGTCGTTGTTGCGCAAACGATGTATCGGTTATCGGTGCACTCCTGGTCTCTCCCTCTTGTCTCTTTCGTCGCTTATACACACACACGCGCGTACGCGCAGCAGCTTCTCAATTTTTCAATATTCCCCGTGCGCGACTTGGAGCGTAACCGGATTACGGCAGCCGAGAATGGCTCTTTCGGTATCCGCGACGTCGATGCGCGGCCGGGGGGTGATTGGGGGCTGCGACGGCACGGCCGAGAGGAGAGTGTCGTAGCCGCTACCCTCCCGCCGCGGGTACAGCGAAAGAAGAGAAAGGAGGAGCGAGGGAGAGAGAGATTTCTTGTACGGTGAGAAAGAGAAGAGGAGCCGGAGCGCGCTCATCCGATTAATATACATATCGTGAGTTCCCTCTCGGCTTCGATATTTCAAGGGGGCGGGGGTGGAGGGCAGGAAGGGGGCAACATCGTGCCGTGGCGCGCAATTCGCGAGCTTCGAGCGGCGGCCCCCGGTGGGCTTTGAATATCCACCAATTTCCTGCCGATATTTGTGTGACGAGCGCGCTTCAACCGGCCCGGCGCGTGAGTGCAATCGGTAATGCGAACGCGCTCCTTCTCTTTGCTTTCTTTCTTTTTTGTCCTCCCGAGAATTTCTCTCTCTCTCTCTCTCTCTCTCTCTCTCTCTCTCTCTCTCCCTCCCCCCCTCCCCCCTCTCTCGCATTTTCTCGCTCTTGCCCCTTGCTCCTTCTTCTCAGTCGTGCGGGATAATCCGACGCTTTTCCATCGCGTTCCACGTTTTTTTATTGCGTGCACTCGAGCACGCAATAACGGAAAAATTGCGTCCACAATGAAGTACGGGGTTCGTTCCGCGTGAAAATTGTACATTGCTGCATCGTCGTAGAGAGAATAATCATGCGGTGCGCTGTCGAATTGTCGCTGCGACGTATTACGTGTCAGGGTCAGGGGAAATTGCAGTTGCGTAAATTGCGGCCGGTCGTCGAATACACCTTGAGGGTGTTTCGGAGAGAAAACATTCCAATCATTTTGTGAACAAAAGTACGACATTTCTACCGTATCTCTTATTATCTCTAACCCGGAAAATCGCGCGGGATTACCATTTCCTTGCAGCGAGCGGCCTGATCTATCAGCAACGCCAGCAGCAACAGTACGGTAACGTGACGAGGGATCATCGGGGTTCCTCCCCGTCATCCAGTCGGCCGGCCAGCGCCTCTTCCTCGACCTCTCAGTGGCAGTCGACCTTCTCGTCCGTCTCTTCCGAGACGTTCTTGCCGCGGCAGGAGAACTGGAACTCCGAGATCTACGCCTCGAAACGGAGCGGCACGCCGACCTGGACGGAACTGGGCACGCAGTTGGATCCGCGAAATTCCTCCTGGGACCGGCAGAACGGCTGTTACCAGAAGAAAGGTTCGCCTGTGTCCACCTGGAATTCTGATCACATCGGCAAGAGGCCGTCCTCGGCGACTGGCGGTGTTCCAACCTGGAGCGACGTAGCGGTGGGCTATCAGCAACAGCGACGCGGTTCCTTGCAGTTGTGGCAGTTTTTGGTGGCTCTGCTAGATGATCCAGCGAACGCGCCTTGCATCGCGTGGACCGGTCGCGGCATGGAGTTCAAGCTCATCGAGCCGGAGGAGGTACGCAAAGAAGCTTCCAAGTCGCGTCGAACGATTTGTATTGAATTAAAATAGCACATATAAAACAAAAGAATAATAAGTAGAATATTTGTATGTAGGATATGCTTCAGAAATAATTGGCCAAACTTTAAGAGCATATTCCACTCATTCTAAGGATGAGAAAAAGTCATATAAACATGGGTTCGGAAACGCTTCCTTTTCAAGTTATAAACACTTCTTATTTACTTGACTTACAGACTGTAACAACATTTGAACTGCAAGAATATTTCATTACATAAATTGCTGGAAATTATTTCCTTCCGCATTGATGCATGCCTCGCATCGACATCGCATGGATTGTCGAAGACGAAGTTCAAAAATTCCTGGAGCATTTCGTATTTTGTCACACGAAGCGATAATACGATTTTGGAGTACTTTCACAGTAGCAACAGGAGTATCATAAACGAGAGTCTTAAAATGTCCTCATAAATAAAAATCCATAGAGTTCAGATCGGGAGAACGTGCAGGCCAAGTGATGGGTCCTCCTCTACCAATCCATCTATCGATGTAATTATTATTCAGGAACTCTCGAGCAGAATGCGGCTGAAATGTGCTGGAGCTCCATCATGCATGAACCATATTTGATTACGTATTTATTTATAACTTCGAAAGGAAGCGTCTCCGAACTCATATTTATATAACTTTTTTCATCCTTACAATGAGTGGGAATATGCTCTTAAAGTTTGGCCAACTATTTCTAATGCACCCTGTATAGTTTACACTAAATTCTACAGTAATAATATATATTCTTTCTATATAAAATTCCCCGTGCAAGATAGGCACACACACATACACACACACACACACACACACACACACACACAGACGACAGTCGAATTCTTCTGTAACATAATTAATATTTTGTGAAGTGTTAAAATGTGTTAATTAAAATGTACGCGAACATATTGTAATATATCAAACATTCCCCCGATTTTCTGCCGATTCCAAAAGCGGAGAATTCACAGAGATTAGAGATAAAAATATCTCGCTGTGCATTTGTTGCAGGTTGCGCGCAGATGGGGAGTTCAGAAGAATCGACCGGCGATGAATTACGACAAGCTGAGCCGCTCGCTAAGATACTACTACGAGAAAGGCATAATGCAGAAGGTCGCCGGCGAGCGATACGTGTACAAGTTTGTTTGCGACCCGGAAGCGCTCTTCAATATGGCGTACGGCACCGGCACGTCCTCCGGGATTACCGCTGGTGAAGTTCCGAGCAGTATGGTACGAAGTCACGCGGTACCCGGGAAAGGAACAGGCGGGAACGAAGTCCCGGATTTGATGAAGCATCCCGCCGCCGCTGCCGCTGCCGCCGCCGGCTACAGCGACGCAGTCTTCGCCATGTACTCCAATACCGCCGCGGGTAGTCTTTGCAGTCTCCTCTTTTATCCCAAAATTCGCTAATTAAGTATAAAGATTTACCAAGTCGTTTCGTCGAGAGGGGAGAAGGCAGAGAGGAAAGAAAAAGACAGCCTCTCACCGACCGGAAATCATTCGTCTTTTATTCACAGTATACGGACCCTCCAGCCTCCACCACCACCTGCATCAATACCTCGGGGGCAACGAGAGCTTCAAAACGCCACCAAGCAGATATCATCCGCACTACCCCCATCAGTACGGAGGTAATCACCACCATCACCACCATCCGCCCGCGAGCTACACGGAGACCTTTCTGAACTACAGTCGATTGTCGTCGTCGCATGAGCCTGTTCTGGACTCGAAAACGGCGCAGGAGCCACCGCCACCGCCGCCGCCGCCTCCACCACCACCACTACCACCACCACCACCACCACTACCACCACCACCACCACCACCTTCATCCTCGGTTGCAGCTACAAGAGAATCCGGATACAATATCCAAGATGCGGAGAGTACCACCAGAGATCGAGAGGCCGCGTCGATACCTTATGAAAGTGTTGTACAGAGATCGCAGTTACCGATAGCAGCCGCGCAGCCCTCGATACTGGTGGACGGTGCAGCGAGCTCCAAGATTGAACAAGCGCCGTACACGTGCCTGGGCGTCGGCAGTTGCGTCTGTTAAAATAATAAATCCTCGGGACCAGGATCTGTCGTTTGCGTGCATTACTCAAACGAGACCGTCGGCCCGGTCAATCGCGATCCGCAACGACAACGACGAGAAGGACGTTGTGTGTGTGATCCGCTCCGAGAATTGTCCAGGCGATCTTAGATCTGTGGTCGGTTGCTTGTACATCGGAGAGATCGCCTTGCTCTACCGACTCTCCAACGAGAGACACAAAGTTGTTTGACTAAAGATATTATCTGAACATAATCTTCAGAGCAAACCGATGTCTCCGATCTGCCAAGGCCAAACGCTGCTCTTGTATCTTGTACATAACATCGTTCGTTTCCCGCACGCACACACACGTGTGTGTACCGAATTGTGTGTACCGTCGAAGACGAAGGATCGACTTTTAAGCTTCGTCCATTGTTTCTCAATCACGAGACTCCGATTCTTCCGAGGCGTTATCTCCGATCGTTATTCTGCGTGTGCGTGTTCTAGTAGTTTATCGCGGCTGTAATATTTATTTTATAAATATTAAATAAATCACTTTCTCTCTGTCTCTCTTTATCGATAGAATAACGCCTTGTGGTGGCTGCTACTTTCCACCGTTACGCGCATCCAAAACTGATTGAAAAATTCGCGTTGCGCAATGAGATATGCGACTTCCCGAAAAATCAACAAGCATGAAGTCAGAGGATGCGTAATCCTCGGCGCGCGCTCGACAACGAAACGTGACATAAGCGTGCGCGACCGTGTGTATATTTCGGGCTCTGACACATACGAATCGAATATGTTTATACCGATGATGCCCTCGCTTTCTCTCGCTTACGCCATCGCTACCGGCCTTGCTCTTCCTCCGTGAGCGATGCGACGGACGTTTCGCTGGCGAGCAAAGTATAATCGTGCTATGACTTCAGCTGTTTCCGCGACCAAGTCTTAGCACACAGTGTGTCGGTCTTGCGACCCAAAAACTACTAGAAACACTTTGCGAGAGCGGAGCAAACCACGTCAACATATTTGGCCGGAGATATATTCGTGCGTGATACGCGACCGCTGGCAACCGCTCGTCGAGTGCGCTCGAATTCTTCAAGTATTGGACCGCGATTCGGTCGACTGAAATTTTTCGCGACAGAGATCGGTAAGTGTTCTCTTTTTTTTGTACGACCATTTCCTGGTTCGACCGGTTAGCGTAGTTTTGCAATATTTTGTGCAGGTTTTAACACATTGATCGCCACGCTGATTTCCATTGATTAGTACAATATTCGAGCTAAAATCAGCTGAAACTTGGCATGGCGATCGACGTGTTCGAAACGTTCGAGAACGTCGCATTTACGCGGTACCTGCCAAATATAACGGTTAGATATCATCCACTCCCGGTCGGTATTGATCCTCCTGCACGCAGCTCTCCCATAATTCCGAAGATTACGACAACACGCACCTCACATCCCGATTGACTGTATTTCCATCTTCACGCCGCGTTCTCTTCCTGCTGATTGGCTGATGTCGCTCAATCGATTGCTCCATGCATTATCCGAAATCAACTACATCGAACACGAAACTACGTCGGTGCCGCTAACGCATTCGCTTTCCTGCGATAAACGTAATTCATCATTTCCTCCGCTGCGTTTCCTTATTGAATCGCGATGGTGACGGAAACGACGCGGAGACGATTAGTCGCGAACGTGCGACACCCTTGCTCGACGAAGATTCGCCTTCGTATATGAACAAAAATCGTCGAAATCTATCTAATAATAAAATCTATAAAGCATTCAGTGAATTACATACTTAAATATTTATTTAAGATAATTGTTCTCGATATAGGTCTGGATGCTGAAGATGAAATCAGCGAAACAAGAGGAATCAGCTATGGGCTTCAAGGACAAGCAAAAGGCGCTCAACATGCTCAAGTCCCTGGATGGTCGCGATATCAGCTACCAGTATCACGTGATCTTGACGTTCATCGGTCGCGCAAAAAGAACAATACAAATCACACGGGACGAGGAGAAGTTGGCTAATCTGCGAGAGGCTCTAAAAATTTTCGAAAACTGGCTGGCGGACTATAAGGAGAGAAAACGAGGAAAAGAGAATCTCGCATATTTGCCAATTGAAACGGTCGAGGCTTTTCGTTGCCTCGCTAAGAAATACGACGTGTGGGATGATGAGTTCTTTAGGTAAGGAAAGATAATTTTTATTTAACTATCTTGCGGATAGCGTTTTGAGTCCTCACTGATTGATTCGATTGATAGGGCATACAAATGCGAGAAGGGTGACTATAAAGGCCTGCGCACCGTCAAGACACCCAAACAAGACACGACTTGGGACATTGAGAGGAATAAGCGACTAAAGGACATCATTGGCAGGATCAAGAGTGAGTATATCCAGTGGTACGAGACCGACGTGGGCGATTTCCGGGGGATGCCGACGAAGGAGCACACGCGATGCATCGTGCTCGCATATAGCCCCGATCCAGCAAAGCTGAAGAAATTGGCGGCTCAAGTGTGCGAGAAGTTCGGCGGGGAAGACGACAGCGAGGATGATATGGACGTCGAAGAAGCAGAACGCAAAGAAAGAGGTACGAAGAGAGCTCACGACAGTTCGTCATCGAGTGACGACAACGACAGCGAGAACGGCGAACCGGAGAAGAAGAGCGCGAAGCGAACGGGAGAAGAGGAGCAGAACCAGCAAAACGAGAAAACCGAGAATACGCTGGGCTTCAAGGACAAAGAGAAAGCCTTGCAGAGCATCGAATCTCTAAAAGGTCGAGACCTGTCGTATCAGTTCTACGCGATCAGCGGCCTAGTGAAGAGAGCGAAACGCGTGATCTCATGCACCAAGGATGAGCAAAAGATCAAGAATATGAGAGAAGCTGTAGAGGTCTACGAAAACTGGATTACCGACTACAACGTGAATAGCAGATCCAAGGAGAACTTGAATTACCTCTCGATAGACATCGTGCGGGCCTTTGAACCACTCGCCGAGAAATATGGTATCAAGGATAACGGATTCCTCAAGTAAGTTCTGTTTTATCAGCATACTTATTACTCATTTACTTATCTCGGAAAAAAATTATTTTTATTTACTAAACTATTCTAGTATTAGTATTCTAGTACAACTATTCTAATACTAAACTATTCTTTCGTCTGATTTTAATAGAGTCTACGAGGATGCCGAGGGCGATTACAAGAAGCTCAGATCCATGCGAGTGGCCGAATCGGATGTCACGTGGGACGTGGAGAGAAACGAGAAGCTGCGGACGTTGGTGAATCGCATAAAAGAGAATGGCATCCAGTGGTTTCATACAGATGCTGAATTCTGTGGCTTGCCCACAGCTGAACACACGCAATGTATTATGTGGGGTTTTAGCCACGACGTCGCGAAGCTGAAGAAACTTTTACCTACCTTGAATGAGAAGCTGAAACCGGCTGGGGACTAATGTCATAATTAACCAACGTTAGATCGTTGACAGAGAGAACGCCTGAAAGTAATCGCCCAAAGATAGAAAATCTGTCATCAATGTTATCTCGCTATTTTATGTATATAGACATTTATTATTTTAGAAGACGCTTTGTAGTTACGTTACACTTACACTCTAACATCATATTGTATAGTACATTTTATATATTATACAATACTATATAATAATGATTATATTAAAAAAAATAATTAATATAAATATGTTTTATACATGTATATATATATACACATATACATATATACATGCATACGTTATACATACACACACACACACACACATGTATACATACATACAGTATCCCATTTTAAATACCACAGGTAAATGTCTTGAAAAAATGTAAAAGATACGGCAAAACGTTTCGGACAAGTTGTTCAAATTAATTGGTAGAAAAAAATGATATAATAAAATTCTAATGCATTGTAATGAAAAACAGTAAAAAATAAAAGTGCGTTAGATATGAAATGACAACCGAAGAGGTATTCCGGCCTTCCGACGGGAATCTAGAAATCTCTGTTTCTCAGTTTACGAATTTTTGTATCAGGGACACATAATAATCGAAGAAATATTACGGCCTTCTGGCGGGAATCTAAAAATCTCTCAGTTTGTGAATTTTCGGTCCTTTTGTGTCACATAATGACCAAAGAGGTATCCCGGATTTCTGATGGTAAATTTGAAATTTCTCATTTACCCAGTTCTCGGATGACCTCATTTTTGAGATAACTTTAGTGCGTGTCGAATCAAATCCCTATTCGTTTTGCTGTTACTGGCTTATGGAATTGGGTATTCCGGATCATATCAAAGAAGAAAAAGTTGTGCTGTTATCATTGAGACGGACGTAGTTCATATTCACTGTCTCAGAGTGCGCGTCGGAAAAAGCGTCGCTTGAAATCCGGTCTGGTGGCCACTCTCTAGTTTGACTTATTCTAAGTACAAACATTTAATTTATTTACAGACTGCTGAAGTGTCGAAAGTTGATTTTATTTTTCGATGGCTGGCGAAGTGGTCGTCGATGCTTTGCCATATATCGATCAAGGATATGATGAACCTGGTGTGCGAGAAGCGGTAGATTTTTGCTTCTATTTACATAATCTAATAGTACAATTAAGGGTTAAGTTGGTTTAGGTTATGTTTTCAAAGAAATTTATTTGTATAATTATTTGATTGTATGCATGTTTTCTTTTCTCCTTGTGAATTCATCATCTCGAATTTCAGGCCTTGGCTATGGTCGAAGAAGAGACTCGTCGTTACAGGCCAACCAAAAATTATCTGGAGCATCTAAACCCTATGAGTATAACATTCGAAACGGCGGTATTAAAGCACGAATTCGAAAGGATGCACAGCCGCCTGCCAATGGAGGTACTTAGTATGAAACGTTATGAGCTTCCACCGCCACCGTCTGGCAAAATGAATGATTTGGCTGCATGGAACGAAAGTGTAGAGAATAGTAGCGCTCAGTTGGAACATCAAGCTACCAGGTAGACTGAAATAGACTGCTGATCATTTATCTCACATCTAATTATTATTACATATTAATATATACTAATACATTAATATATTATAAGGACATGAAGAATAGATTGCATATATAATTGGTTTATATTTTTTAAGTTGAAGTACATACCGATATGATTTTTGCTTTTGTATTTTTTATTTTAACCAAAAAATCTTATATTTAACTAAATTATATTTAATCAGAAAATTTTAATATTGCTTAATTGACGTTACATAATATTCCTTGTGCTATTGATTGTAGAATCTGTAATCTTGAGTTAATGATGGAATATGGATGTGAAGCTTGGAAGTCATACCTGAATGTACTAGTGCAGCTACTCGGTCAGGCTCAGAAGCAGCTACAAATGCTACGCAAGAAGATTCAAGAGGTGAACTGGCAGAGGAAGTCGATGCAGACTCAAGGCGGCGACAAACTGAGGGCCCTTGAGGCTCAGTGGGTCGGTTTGGTGTCAAAAAATTACGAAATCGAACAAGCGTGTGTGCATTTGGAAGAGGAGATACAAAAAGTGATGATGAACAAAGAAGCCGTCGAGATCAGCGACGTACCGGCGGAAGAAGGTCCAGACATGCCTGGGAAAAGCGCCACGGAAACGATGGCGTTACAAATGCAGCAACAGGAAGAGCAGGAACAGCGGGATCTTCTATTGGACTTTTGAGATGGCACCGATGGGACGAAATAATACGACAAAGACAACGGCGAAGAATGAACGTACGCGATGTACTTCGAATATTTATAGAGGCATTACGAAGTCCGTACAGGACTTCTGTAATAAAGCACAATTTATTTTATCGTGATTTATACATGTATCACACTCGATTTACGCTGACAATATACATATGTACAACGGCGGTATATCACTGTTTTAATCGACACAGCGCGATGCACTACTGATTAACAATTATTTATAATTTCACGATGGTGCTGAGACAAACGAAAGATTTGCTTTAACATAGTTACGTTCCACGTGTATCGACACATTTTCACACGTATTGCGCGTCGACTCAGCTGGTTTTATTTTATCTCATTAGGACGTGTGTTAGCGGCAATATTTAATACCACGATATAATTACAAAGCGAATAGCTAAGCGTTTAATCTTTTTTTTCCTTCTCTCTCTCTCTCTCTCTCTCTCTCTCTCTCTCTCTCTCTCTCTCTCTCTCTCTCTCTCTCTCTCCCCCCCTCTCTCTCTCCCCCCCTCTCTTTCGACCGACTATTCGTATGTAAAAAAATACGCGAGTTCACAATCTCCGTTTTGCCTTTCTACGTCTAAATTGTCGTGGACTGAACATGAGAGAAACGTCAAAAGTGATAGTCGGATTAGGCTTGCGTTGCGCATCACAATGCTCTGTCGTTTTATTCACTCGACTGTCATAATGACGTTTCGCTAGCGCCAGAACTTTGGGACTGAAGTGCTATACTTCCCTTATAGCCCATCGATTCCTCTTCCAGCAGAGTTATGCGTTGCTTCAACGTCTTCACCTGCAAATCACGAAATATTCAAATTACTTATTTATTTACTTTATTATTTTATTTTTATTTATTTATTTATATATTTATTTATTTATTTTATAATTCAAAAGAATCAGAAAAAGATTACTTCCCGTGAACGAAACAAATACACTGAAGATTTAAAATGATTATACTAATTTGCACAATAAACACGGTAAAGATATACAATAACATTAATATACAGTAAGTTATAATAAAGGAAAGGAAAAAAGAAATGTATAAAAGAAAGTAGGGAAAGAAATTAGTGACACCGCTGATGTGTTCGGCAAATTTAAAAATCCTATTTTGCAGATAAAGAGAAAGAATAGGCAGAATAGGATCTCTATTTTACAGCTTTATGCTTTAGGATAAATCTAAAATATATGAGCAACAATTAGGTACTATTACAAAATGAAAGGGAGAGAGAAAGAAAGTAGAATTTAGTAGAATCGAGTTTATAATTGGAAATATCGTTTTGTAGAAGAGAGTACAAGGACACTCTCTCTCTCTCTCTCTCTCTCTCTCTCCCCCTCCCCCTCTCTCTCTCTCTCCCTCTTTCTCTATTTTTAGCTTAAAAGAATGTATGTATATACACATGGACGGGGCGCGCGTGCGCGTTAGAATCGATCCAATATGGCGGCCGCGAGCTTGAGGAGACAGTAGTAGTCTCACAAGTCGTTCTGATGTACAGCAGAATATTACGACGACTAGTTAAAAAGTTGCCGGGGGAAAGGTACTTCGGCGATTTCCGGATCCTCCCTCTATTCTTTGCGCTCGGTGCGTTTATAGAGTACTCCATGATCCAGTGGCATGTGGGTGAGACTAATTTCTACAAAGTGTACAAACGCCGGCAGATAGAGGAGTTGACGAACAAGAAGTTACATCAGACTACACCGATCGTCGATAACAAAGCCTGAAGCCGCATTTGTAATCGACCATCATCGCGCAATGCCCGCCGGAGTGTCTTGGCCACGGTACATTATATTGTCCGCGAGCGCATTACTCTCAATGATGGCCGGTGCGCAATGCGTCCACCTGATATACAAACCGCTCGACGACCTGGACGAGCTCGTCGAGAAGCACATTAATGAGCAACTAAAGAAAGAAGGAAAAGCGTCGTAGAAGAATATGTAGTTTAGATCAAGTATGAAACGTGAGATGATGTTGAATAATAATAAATTATACCACTGAATGTCTTTCTGATGTCTTTTTTTTTTTTGTAAATACGAATCGGTTACACCGAGTGATCATAAAAATGTGAATACTTCACCTATATGCGGTCATACCTGCGCGGCATGCCTCTCTACCATCCCCAGCATCTGTTGCTCCAGCTTTTTGAGTCTGGACTGGTACTTCTTTTTCGACTTCTCCAAGGTTTGAACCAAGGCTCTGGGGAGAACAAGTGAGGGACCTTGTGCTTATTGCGGATGTGTAACAGTAAGTTATGAAAGAAAAAAAGAGAAATATATAAAAGAAAATAGAGGAAAAGGAATTGGCGACATGAGTTTGCTAAACAAATAAAATATCTATAGTAATGTATTTGTATTCGTGCGTAAGATACCCGTTAGCTCTCTTCAAGTCGTTGACGAGCTCGGCGGATTGCTGATGTCGCAACTCGGAGTTTTTGTTCACCTCGTCCAAGGTCGAGATTAGTTCCTGCAAGCGTTCCTTCAGTCTCGCTTCCCTACCTAGCGCTTCAATTAGCTCGGACTCCATTCCTTCGCTCTCGTTGTCGCTCAAACCTCGATCCTGTATATATTCTCCATTAGTTTACGTGAAGAGAATGATTTCAATGGCGCGCGATATCCATGGTTTGAGATTTTATATTCAAGATCATCGCGGTTTGCATGACATTTTAAGATAAATTTGACACGATCTTAAATATCGCCGTAAGATACCTTGTTCGTCGCCATCGCGAGCATAGCTTCCGCGTCGCTGAGTTGACCTTGAAGGTGCTGTATGGTGGCGTGCTGAGCCGCGATCTGCGTGTCGCGGGCATTCAATTTCAGTTCTATCGTGGCTCGTTCCTTTTCTAGAAGAAATACCCTCGCACGTAGCTCGGCCTTGTCCTCCCGCATAGCCATTAGTTCCTGAAGGCATTATATTTCCATGGTGTAGAGGGTCGTCCCTCTTCTCTGGATCCCTTTCCGCAGATAGCGAATACCGACCTGCATAAGAACGGCAGTCTCCAGATCAAGTTTCCTGGCCTCCGCCAGGGAGATGGTGTTCTTTGAGTTTAAGGGTTCCGCGTGCACACTCTCCAGCTCGACTGCCGTCGATCTGACCATGGTACGCTCTCCTTTGAGTCTGCTGATGTGCCGTCTAAGCCGTTGTTCGTCCTCCACGCACCATGTCACCTCCGACCTGTCGAGGAAGTGATTATGTAACACCGATTGTGTACATCGCGTGCGAAGTGCGAGAGAGAGAAGTTTCCATCTTTTAAGAAATGGTCTTGTAAAAAAGAAAGAGATGCAATATCTGTATTTCTTATTCTCCTTTGTTCTTTTCCTTTCCCACGAAAGATACGCTGTTGTGTAACGTCTTTTTTCTCTCGTGAAAATGTAATTAATACATAGGGTGTCTGAAAATTTATGACACAATATTCGTACGTAGATATACCGTATCTAACTGAACGAGAAAGTTCCCTACTTTTTTTGCAAACATTGTTATATAATTATTAAGGAATTAATTAAAGAAGAACAGCAAATGCGAGCGCGGAAAGAACAAATACTTTTGTTTAGTTTGTTCTCCATGCAACGGATATCGTACTTAAATTCAAACATCCTGTATATACTGTGTACATATGTAACACCCTGTATATATGTATTCGGGGTGTAAAGCGCTATCGCATTCCTCGATACATACTCATCCGATAAGACCATACTGTCTTCCCAGGGCGCGGCCAGCGCATTAGCGCAGTCGTTTTCGAGTCTATTCAGAACGTGATACGCTACGTTCTCGGCAGCCCTCCTGTTATCGATCGTCGCACTGTTTCTCTCGGTGGAGAGAGCGATCTCGCTTTCCAGCAGCGCGACCAGAACGTCGTAGGCCTCGATGGCGCGATCGCTGTAGGAGAGTGCAAGTCGCAATGCCGTCGCGTTCGACTCGTACTTGCCTACCAGTAAACTCAACCTGCAACCACGACGAGGAAACTATCCTTTGTAACACGCAAGTCGCCCGAGAGTTTCTGCCAATACACTCGCTATCACGTTTCATACTAACGTGTGATGCAAATTAACGATTTTATTAATTAAAAAAGGGAATCATCAATTTTTACACTATCACACAAAAAATATAAGATGGTGCGCAGAGGTCGTGATTCATTGACTCAAAAAATTTATAATTTCTTTTACGTACGGGTAATATATATATGTTTAAAGTTCTTACCGCAGGTACCGGGGAATATATGTATATATTTGAAATGGTAAGTGACTTTAGGACCACCTTGTGACTCAACCGAACGTGTTAAAACTCCGAAAGAAATATGATGAAGGTAATACCGATCGCATTGCGCCTTGCTCTCGTGCAGGGTGAGAGCCAGGACCGCGTTGTTAGCTCGCGCGTGTTCCAGCCGACTGTTCAAGCGCTCAGTTTCGACCTCAAATTGCTTCTCAGAACCGTTCAGTTCTTGCAGGTTCGACTGCTCCAAGAGATCCGACACAAGATGCTCGGCGACCATGGTGGAGCATACCTGGAACACGTTTGCACCTGTGACCACCACGTCGTTTTATCAAGAATAGAGTCGAGGGATTACAGTAACGTTGACTGAAGGAGAAATCGTACCCCGAGATTAGCGATGTCCGGCCCGGTGATGTGCCTCTCGTCTGTTCTCCTGAGTCTCACTCTCTCGGCCATCTTCAGAACTGGCGCTTCTTCCCTCATTACGTTCTTCGTCGGTGGTGTTTGCAGCGGCGGCAAAAGAGGCGAGCATGGTGCCGTCAGCGGTTCCGGTGAACTGTTATTGCCTCTTGTCTGTACAGAAGAGGAGATGTTCGCAAAAGGAACGAGGCGAGAATTGTTGTATTTTATCAACGTTTCTTCACCTTTGTGGAATTTGACGATGTTATTTGTCCGATCTTGTTTTCTTTTTAATATCACGATCTTTTCTTATCAATTCTTTATCAAAATATCGTTTTACCCAAATGATTTTTTGTTTGAACATATATAATACATATATAAAATCTAGTAAAAGAAAAACTAGCGCCAGTTTGGCGAAGGTGTCCCAAATGGAAATCATCGCGCTCTTTCTGCTCACTCTGATCTCCCGCCGCGGCGAATCGCTACCCGCTGTTTGCCTCTGACTGCCGGCCTGATTCTGGCTCTTGAAATGCGCCAATTGCGCCTGTAGGCTCACGATCTCGGCCCGTAGCGCCGTGATCTCCTCCTGCAGCGTCGCTACGGCGACGCTCTGACACGAGGCTGCTTGCTGCGTCGGCTCCGGGGTCGGCAACGCGGCCGGACTGCCCAGCTGCTCTCTATCGTTCTAACACGCGACATACAAACGAACATTCGTTATAGAGCCCGATACGAACTACGTGTGCTGCTAGTTACTTATATGCAACAGCTGCCATCGCGGAATTCCTGCTTTTCACTCACCTCAGCCGGTCGATTCTCGTCCTCGCAGCAACTGGAGTCCGCATCGCCCAAGGTGCGATCGCCGTCCCCTTGGATATCCCCACCGCCTTCGCTCTCCTCCACCGGGTTAGTGATGGACCCCTCGGCATCCCTGCTCGTTTCGACTTCTGCGTGCGAAAAGAAGAAAACACCACCCCCATCATCAGTCTATGCAATGTTTGCAATAAAGACACATGTAGTATCATGAAAATTAGAACACGGACGGTTTATAATTTATTGCAAACTTTATTCTTGAACAAACGCTTTTGAGGGAATCTGCATCCTAGAGCGCTCAATAAATAACGCTTTTTCCCTTCTTCCCCTTTTTTGTTCTATCATCCCCTTGCCGGAAGAAGCCGAAGATCGAATCTCGTCACGACGCAACCGTCTTCGCGGCGGCATGCGCCGCTTGAAGAACCCTGAGAGATTGCTCTTTCTTCTCGGTAGAACCGAGAACCGCGCATGAAAGATGAAAAGAGAGAGACAGAGAAAGAGAGAGAGAGAGAGAGAGAGAGAGAGAGAGAGAGAGAGAGAGAGAGAGAGAGAGAGAGAGAGAGAGAGAGAGAGAGAGAAGAGAGAGAGAGAGAGAGAGAGAGAGAGAGAGAGAGAGAGAGAGAAACAGAGCAAAGTCGAGGAATCGAGAGCGCACTAGCGTTGCTACCTAGAGTGATGGCTATTACTATCGTTATTGTCGGAGTCCGGGGGAGATCGCTGATTGCCCGGCGGGAATTACCCCGCGTGTTTCACCCCGGAGAATTGGTCGTGGCTACTCGTTTACCGCGCGAGTTGAAGGCCTCGTGCTGAGAAAAAAGAGCAAAGAGAGAAAGAGAGAAAGAGAGAGAGAGAGAGAGAGAGAGAGAGAGAGAGAGAGAGAGAGAGAGAGAGAGAGAGAGAGAGAGAGAGAGAGAGAGAGAGCAGAGAGAGAGAGAGAGAGAGAGAGAGAGAGCAGAGAGAGAGAGAGAGAGAGAGAGAGCAGAGAGAGAGAGAGAGAGAGAGAGAGAGAGAGAGAGAGAGAGAGAGAGAGAGAGAGCAGAGAGAGAGAGAGAGAGAGAGAGAGAGAGAGAGAGAGAGAGAGAGAGAGAGAGAGAGAGAGAGAGAGAGAGAGAGAGAGAGAGAGAGAGAGAGAGAGAGAGAGAGAGCAGAGAGAGAGAGAGAGAGAGAGCAGAGAGAGAGAGAGAGAGGGGGAAAGATCAGTCTCTCCTCTCCCTTTCTCGAAGTAGGTGACGGTGGTGGCAACGAGGAGGAGCGAAATCGGTACGCGGAATCGAGAGTGATAGTGGCAACGGCGACGGCGACGGTGTCGTCGTCGTCATATATCCTTACCGGACTCGTCCTCCTCGGCAATTACGGTGGCGCGATGCCTCTCCAGCTGTCTGCCAAGCTCGGCGATGACGGAATGCAGCTCGGTGAGCCGCTCCTCGTGCCGCGCCGCCTGCTGTTCCGCCCGCTGCTCGGCACGGGCCGTCTGCACCTCTGCCCTCACCAGCGCGGCCTCGGCAGCCTCTCGTGCGCGGGTTGCCGCCACTAGACGCGAGTTCAGCTCGGCGACCTCGGAGCGTAGCGACGATAGCGCGGCCGCGTGTAACTGCAACAGGAAAATTTTGTCGGGTTAGGTAATTTTTTTTTGTCTGACAAGGAGACTTACGGAAGCGTCACTCACTCTGATTTTAATGAAACTTTGCATACTTATAGAACATCGAAAAATAATCGACATGTATTTTTTTATTTTTGCAATGGTGCGGATTTAAGGATAGAAACCATCCCTTGGACGTTAGGGGTGGTCTCTGAACATAGACAGAAAACAATCATATAATTTAGGAGAAAAAATGCTTTCAGGGGGTTTTTGATGCAGCTAATTCTGAATCTGACGTCAAAATTACAAAATTCAAAATCGGCGGATCCAATGTGACGATCGAAATTACAAAAATTCTTCTCATAAAATTTATGTATCCTCAATTTTTAAAATTATTAATTTATTGAGAATAATTTTTACAAAAATGATATTCCGTAACAAAAGTGTATCACGCACAAAGATTTTTTACACCACGCACACCTCAATACCGACAATAAATGTGCACGAATCGCAAAATGCTGCACAATCTCTGAAACAAAATTCTACGGGATCTTCAAACTCAGGTGGTTCTTTTTGCAAATAACCGCTTTTGTACCACGCATAACTAATAAAATTTGAAAATGATTAAACATTTAATTACCCACTAGTAATTTTCATACGTTGTTATTTTAGAAGGAATTTTACAGCTATGAGAACTTTCAAAACATTTTTTCTATTAATTTATACAATTGTGCTGCCAATCTGGTTTGTGCTTTGAAAATCATCCCTTTGTCATGAGATGTAGTCGCCATTTTGAATTTTGTAATTTTGACGTCAGATTCGGAATCAGTTGCATCAAAAACTCTCTGAAAGCATTTATTCTTCTAAATTATATGATTGTTTATTATTTTCCGTCTATGTTTAGAGACCACCTCTAACGTCCAAGGGATGGTTTCTACCCTTAAATCCGCACCATTGCAAAAATAAAAAAATACATGGCGATTATTTTTCGTTGTTCTACAAATGTGCAAAATTTCATTAAAATCAGTGAATGACACTCCCGTAAGTCTCTCCTTGTGAGATTCGAAGATTTTCCAATGTGCAATCTCCGATATATCGTTCTGCAATGTTGAACATAAATAGTTTGCTTTATAAATGTCCTGGATCTGGCAATCGCAAGTTGATATATTTTTTCGGTAGTTACGCAGGGATATATGTGAATAGTTTCATGTAAAAATTTCACATGTTTGTTTGAAAAATTATATGATTGATAAAGTCGTCGGATTCATATAGACTTGTTATTTTTCCTTTTTCCGTTCTTAGAAGAGAATTACACGATCGCTACTATCCTGGGATATAAAATCTCGCTCTAGACATTGTTCTACAATTTCGCAACAAGTTTCTAATTTCTCATTTCCGACTGTACTGTTAAATCTATTTTTCACCAGTGAACGATGTCCAGTGAGCGATGGAGTTTCGCATTGTCGCTACCGCAGATGCTGTTGCAGATAACATTGTAATATAAATCGCGCATTTCGACGTGGATACGTGCAGAGCGATTACCGCAAAAACGAGATCTCATCGAGCTCGCAACAAAGCGCAGAAATAGTACGCGGGAATTTCGCGCGCATCGCGTGAATCAACGTCTCGTGTGTTTACCGATTCCAGTCCACGGTGATGTAATCCTGTTGAATAATTTAATACCGCGGATCGAGATCGGCTGTCGAGATCATGTTATTCTCGCGGTCTCGACCGCGAAATCAAACGGCGTAGATTGCCAAAGCTATCGGAACGCATCGTGGGCGCACTGATTTTCTTCATTCGCGTATAATCGCGAGTCTCCCTTCCTCTCCTTCTTCCCCTCTCACTCACGCTAGCGAGGCACACCATACGGGTAATGCCTAAAAAAAAAGGAGAAAAAAATAAGCGCGTCCTTCTCACGTGCAATCGCCCGTATCGGACGTTACGGGAGGCTAACAATTGTCGGTTGCGTAATTACAGCGCGACGCGATGGGAGGAAGTGAGGGGGCGATGATGAACGCATAAAAACGACGGACGCGCGGCGATTCGTGGCCATTCTTCGCTGGGACATCATCGTCGCAGAGAGGATTCCGAGACGAGTGTGCGAGTAATTTTCGAAAGCAGGTAAAATCGAATCGCTCAGATAGTCCGCCATATCCTCACGAGAGATTGACATTATTACAAAATTATGTATATATGCGCAAGTCTAAATATTATTATCAGTAAAATCGAGCGAAAATTCACTCCGAACAACATAGAAAATCGATCTCTATTCGGAATTACATAAAAGCGAGTGCTTCACTCAAGCTCAGAAGAGACTCTCTCTGTCTTCGATATCGAGTGAATATTTCTATTTCACAATACATTTTGAATTGAGGTATGAAATGCCTGAAATTCATCAATCGACTCTGAGCGCAAGTGCACACTCGACGTTTCAGAGCGTAACTCGGTTATCACCTCGCTCGAGTGAAGTTTCGTCGAGTGAAATTTCACTCCAAGGAATTTTGAGATAACACGCGATGAATCTATGTGCGTGCGCGCGCGTGCGTGTGTGTAAATCGTCTTGTATGCTGTCGCAGACAATCGAGGTGAATCGACGATGAAGCTAATCATCGTCCTGATGGCCATCGCCATCGTACTTTCGACCACGGTCACGGCGCAGGACGACTACATTCATCTGCCGGGGAAAAGTTGCGCGGATGCACCGCCTTGTCCCGACGGGAGACCCTGCGTGATGGCCCCACCTCACTGCAACGTCGGTACCTGCGGCAGAGATCCAGTACCGACTTGCGGGAAAAAGCCTTAAAAGGGGACGTATGGCGTAAATCCAAGCCAAGTATTACCGCTCGTTCATACCTTCTCCGTGTGTAACAATAATAAAGAGCGTTATTTCTCAAGAGGAAAGAAACGCGTGTTGCTAGTTGGCTACGCCGCCACCGTGTGGTGTTATTGTTATCGTCGTCCTTTGCCGACGACGAGATCGTCGCCGAAACAACGTAGATACACGCGTATTTCGAAGTAGCGTGGTTAAATATTTTGCAATGGGCAACGGTTTACAGAAGCCGCGATGTACAAGATGATGAAACGTTTGGCGTAACCGCGCGCGGCGCGAGGCCCCGCAATTTCCGTCCTTTCATTCACAAAGGATTCTCTCTCGCGCTCGGTTAAGGTCAGGGGTGTGTGCCGGCCCAGCGCAAACAGCGGGAGGGGGGACACGACGGCCGGAGTGTAATTCAAACAAAAAGCAATCAAGGATTCAATTACAAGGCCGTACGGCTGGCCGGCCGGCCGGCTATGCGGCACAGCATGGCGGCTCGCAGTTTCATCGTCGAGTAAGGTCACGAGCGAGATTCGATTACCGAACTCGGCCTCGGACACGTCGGTCGTCCGATCGCCGGACGAATTAGTAATCAAACTGGGCTGGTCTTCGTCGTTTCGCGCATTTTCCGCGCTCAACAGCGTGAGTGTCACACGATAATAATGACGCGTGTGAGAGAGAAGGGAAGAGAAAAAGAGAAAGAGAGAGTGTGTGTGAGAGAGAGAGAGAGAGAGAAGTAGCGGCTGCCTCTCTCGCGAGCGGTGCTTTCTGCTTGGATGATTTCAAAATTAGCAAAGACAAAAATGAGATAAAATTCCTTCCTCTTGGCACCTTGGTCTGATTACCAGATGAATACCAAATGCAATCTCAAGCTCTCAATGTCCTTTCTTTTGTCTTCTTTTCTCTTCGTTTCTTCAATTCCGTCCGCTTTGGTGGACGGAACTGACGTGGGCGCGGCGCGCGAAGGTGTCCAATGTGCCGAGAATCTCCGGTGAATATCAGTCCCGGAGGACGGAGGACAATCCTCCAAACGGCATCCCGCAGAATTCATTACTCCGCGAATAGGCATTTGTCGCGCGGATTTGTCGGTGCGCGCGGGCTCCCCATTATGACTGACGTGCAATTTATCGAGTAAGAGTTCCTTTGTATTTCCGTTTGTACGACTGACTGACTGACGCGTGCGCGCGAGTGAGCAAGCGCGCAAGCTCGGGCTCGAGCTCGCGGTGATTTATCGTGCTGCGCGCTGCGCCGCACCTCAAAAGAGCAATCCCCGTACGGTGTTATCGAGTCTCGGTTTTCCACAGGTTTTCCTGGCAACGGCGACGCCGGCAATGGCGGCGCGCGTGTGACGTCATACCGTCGTCACGGCGGAAAAAGTCGCAACTCCGCGCGGACGATAAATCAGCCGCCGAATCCCGCCGCGTCTTCGCGACAAATACGAGACAGGAGTGGTGAGCTACCTGGGGTCTATATATCCGGCATCCCCGAGGATGCGATGGAAAATTTAAGAGACCCTTCTCTCATCCTGTTTCTTCCTCTCCCGCCGTGCGCGCACTTGACGTGAGAGCTGTCAGCAGCAGCGTGGCGCGTGTCTCGAGAGTGTCAATTTTTAACGGAGTCCGCGAACAATTTCATATGCATTATATAGCATACATCTTTGCATTCCCTTTTTGGACACACCAATGGAATTTCGCCCGTGTACCAACTCAAGATCAACGTCGACGCGCAAGGGCTACAGAAATCGCAGGCCCCCCCTCCCTTCCCCTACATATCCGCGACACACCGTCTGCACGCACGGATTCCCCCCTTGCGCCTCCTCGCGTCTCCGTCACCGTCTCTCACCGTCTCTCACCTCACCTCCACCCGGGGCGCCCAAGAGAGACCGTGAAACGGAAACTTACTGCATTTTGCTTGTCCTTGCTATCGGCCTCGACCTGTATAGGAACGGTCTTATCGGCTCGGCGATCACCGGGGCAGCAGAGCCACGACCTAGACCTCGTGAGCCCTTTGGACTCCTCCTCCTCCTCGTCCTCGACCTCCTCGTCCTCCGTGGTGGCGCAGTGCACGTACACGAGGTCGTCGCGGCGCGAAGGCGGCTCCAACACCTCCTTGGCCAAGGCTGGCACCACATGACCGGAGAGCATCTGCACCGGGTAGCGCGGAGGCTGTTGCTGCTGCTGCTGCTGCTGCTGATGGTGCTGATGATGCTGATACTGCTGATACTGCTGCTGCTGTTGCTGATGCTGCTGCAGCTGCACGTGCTGCCGGTGCAGGTGATCCACGTAGTAGCGCGGCTCCGCCGAGCCATTGTTTACGGCTACCGCGAAACCCGCCACGTTGAATTGCGAGCCGCTGCCAGCTGGAGCCCAGAACTCAGCTCAGGAAGCTCATCTTCCGCCGTTCCGCGCGATATAACCCGCTCGATCGGCGATCGAGCGGACCGTTACGGATCGTCGCAACGGTCCAAGTCTTCGCCGCCGGTATCTTCTTCCTCCACGAGCGCGCGCGCGCGCACGTGCGTGTGTACGTGTGTATGTGTGTGCGGCGTGTAAGCACCGGATCCACCCGCCGATTAATTTATTTTTGATCTTATTCTCCTACCCGCTCCCTCCAGGCGGTCACCTGAGATCGACCGCGCTGCTGCTACTCTCGTAGGCAGCGGATGTTGCGGTTATCCTTCGACTGGCTAGCTGGCGAACGGTTCGCTTCCCCGAAGTCGCGCGATCGCTGCTTCTCTACGAGTTCAAGTGGAATCTGCTCGCTATCGGTCGGCCGTGTTGCCGTATGGATGAGGAGCGACCACGGCAGAATGGTTAACGAAGTGTTAACGGCGTTAAGCTATTGTTTATGCCGTCATTTAAAGTATCGGCGCCGCGGCCGAGAGGAGGATCCACTGGCGAGGAACGCGGCCGAGTGTACCGACGACGGGTCAACTCTGAGACCTGTTGGGCGACGGTTGTCGTGTGAGACTTGTCCTCACGTCGGACATTTGGATCTCAGCTTATACAATCAGACGAGAGGCGAGAGAACGCGTCGCGCGTCGGTCCGCGCGTGTGCAACAGGATATATCTCGCTCGTGCGTCTCATTCTCGCGCGAGTATACGTGCGAGTATACTCGCAGTAACGATGAAATATTTTCGTACGGAGAAATTGCGCGAGCAACGAGCGACGCGGGCAATCGCGAAATCGCCCGCTCCATCGGGGAGATCGCGCGAGGTCAGTTTTGATAGAGAGATGTACATCACGACGCGATATATATCGCGGTACCAGCGGCATCGATGCTACCCATTCGCACGTGATATTGATCGACTTCTATTTTGGACTCGGACTACATATATTTTTCGTACTCGCTCGTCGTAGCCCATCGACGCGGCGCGGAGGTTTGCGCATGAGTCCGACGATGTTTCAGCCGGTCGCGGCACATTCGTGCGTCCGAATCGATACTTGTTTCCGAAATACCGCTTTATCACGATAAGTACCAACCGCCAATTACGCTTCCGACGACGTGGCGGCGGTCGGCCTTCGGGGAACTTCGGGTTCGGGTCTAAACAACTCTTTAAGTGTCTTGGAAGGAAGTTTCACCCTTCCGAAGATCAGAGTCACAAGCGAATCAATCAGGTTTGAGTAATTTTTCATTCACGAATTGTCGAGTGAATATTCATGTCCGAAATTGAAGAGCGAATCTGACGTATTCCAATGTTACAGGAATAATTCATCTTAATCGGTTCATTTTAATGTAGAATCAGAATTCTAAACTCAAGTGAAACGACCAGTATCTTCTTCACTACCACTTTGAGCAAATTTCTACTTGCTTTGACTGAGATTTCACTCCGAGAAAGCATGCTAGAAATCGAACGTACGTCGTTAAAATAAAATAAAGGGAAAAAAGAAAAAAAAAAAAACGAAATAAATATTCTTTACTCGTAACGCCCGTAGAGGCTCGTATTCAACTCGCCGGTGAATGAGGAAGATTGTAGTAATCAAGAGACGAAGGGGCTGGTTTTTTAACGTTACAAAGTCGCCAGGGAGAATTCGAGTACGTGCGAGCGCGCGCGCGCATTCTTCACGCTCGCCGGAATCACCCCGGCTCGTAATAATTTTTACGCGCGGCGCTTAACGAGCTCGCCGTGACGCGCGTTCGTTAATTATTCATTAGTGACTCGGCGAGCCCGCGACATGATATCTAGCGGATCGCATTATTTTCGGAGATTAAAGTTTCCATCCACGCCCGCCTTCCTTCTTTTCACTCTACTCGAGCGGGACGATCGGGACAATATTCAGCGCCGTAAATGCCTAAATTATGCAACGCTTTTAAAACACTTCGTATATCGCGCGCGGGTGCGATACCTGTGGCGTTAAAAATTTTAAATGCGATTTATCCGACTGTCGCGAGTTTATTTCGCTAACGTGTGCGTATCGATCGATGCGAACTCTTTCTCTCTCGTTATACAAGCCCTCTGTTTCACCCTCCGCGGTATATATATATATCTATATATATCGCTTCTCTTTCTTTCTTTCTCTCCTTCTTTCTCCTTGGATCCTCTCAGCATCCTTCTTCATCTACGGGATCTTGCGACGTGACCGGTTTGTGTTACGTCTTTCCGCGATACTGGGCCACTGAGAAGGACGAACGCTCCTTCTTTTTCCCCTTGTTCCCCTCCCACCCTTCATCCACCCCTCGTTCGTGCTGAGGAAAATTTGTGGGACGCGTGCGGAAAGTTCCGAAAACAACCTCCTTCTCGTCGTTCCTCTTTCTTACTCGCCAGACGCGCAACCTAATTTCGTCGCAACGTTGTTTTCGCGGACGGGGGAGGTGGGGGAGGAAAGAGCGAAGGGGCACGCGCATAAATCTTTTGCAGGTGCAAACATATTTGCATATTGTGCGCCGCGCGCGTTACAACGGCGCGCGGCGCGGTATAAATTCGCCCGCAGCCGTTTTCCGCGGCTGCGATAGATCGCGGCGGGATGAAGTGCTCCGATAAAACTAGCTAAATAACGAGCGACGGCGAGACGAGGTGTGGCTAATGACGACGGTGAGCTCGCAGGCGAGCTCAAATAGATACGGAAACTCTCTTCGCCTTTAATC